AATGAATTACGGGTCTTATTTTTGCCTGTGTAGAGGAGTCTTAGAGGAAATCTTTTTCCTTTTTAGCTTAACGGTTAAATATGTTTGACATCCTGCTATTTTCCCCAAAAATTAATCTGTAGTGCATCTTATGGCTATTATTTCCCCCCTGCTTTTCCACGCATATTATGTCTGATTTCCAAGATAGTCAATCCTATCCTAGGAAACACTATTTCACTAGGATGGTGGTGAAGCACTGGAACGGGTTACCTAGGGAGGTAGTGGAATCTCCACCCTTAGAGGTTTTTAAGGCTTGACAAAGCCTTGGCTCGGATGATAGTTGGTGTTGGTCCTGATTTGAGCAGAGGATTGGACTAGATGAACTCCTGAGTTCTCTTCCAACCCTAATATTCTATGATTCTATCTTTGGGCTTGCTTTTACTATGTATATTTTAATTGGACCTTGTTAATTACCCACTAGCTAGAAGTGGTTAACACTGGGCTGATCTTTCGGGTAAACCAAAAACGATTTTTAGCACAGAACACACATGTAGGGGAGTCCAGATTAGCCTGTGCACACGTGTTAGCTATCAATTAACTGGAAGTAAAAATTCTAGTGTAGACATAAGGTTAGAAAGTAGCTAAGATCAGTAAAGTGACCATGTAAAAATAGTGTCTTCTCGCTCAGAGCTGCTCCCCTTCCACATACCGAATCACAGTTGCTTCCTTTTACTGACAAAAATAAGTTGTTTACAAATTTTCATTCTTATTAGCATGCAAAACCACTACAACTATGGGAGAGTGAACCAGGTTCTATTATGGCTCATGCATAGTAGACAGAATTAACTAAAGGACAAATAGTCTGGCTATTGTTTCAGAGGATGTGTGGGGGTAAAGATTCCTGGTCTTTACATGCAAAAGGAGGATGGATCTAAGCAGTGACAAGATCCTTTAACCCCAACCATCTACTGGCCTGCCCAGGTCTCACTCTCATCAGCTCAATGTTTATGGCCATTCAGGGGTCCCCACGTTGTGAGAGGGCTATGCCATGTGTCGGTAGTCCATCGCTGATGAGGATGACGATGCCGTGCCATGAAGGTGGTGTGTATCCCCTGCATTGCCTCCCTCCAATCCTGTCCGGTTTGTGCAGTTGAACCGCTCTTGTTCACTGCCAAGGGCACCTCCATGGTCTCAGAGACAGAATTTGCCTCTAAACATCAGCAGCAGAACTGACTACAACTGGTGATGTATGAGCGAGAAAGAGCAGCTTGACTTTCTGAGCCCAGGTTGAGTTTCCAGCGCTGGAAGTTAGTGAGAGGGTAAAAACCTCTGTGTAAACCCAGCAATTTGTTCAATGCTGTTTTTGCAGTGTCATGTTTTAGAACATAACCACACCTTAAGTTACTGCCTGGTAGAAGTGGCTTTTAATTAAAGGTTGAGAGAAATATAATGAAGGCTGATGGAAACCTTGGGGATACTTTAATGTTGATGCTCAAGATAGGGGCTGGGTTCTGTAGAAGTTTTACTGTATTTGGACTAACCTCCTGCTTGTTGTACTCATGCAAGTAGTCAAAGAGGCTGCTTACCTCACTCAAGAAAACAGGATTTGGCCTTTTGTAAGTAAAAAACAAAAGTACTCTCTTTAAACGCAGCTTTCCCCCACTGCCTCATGTATTCAGTTTTTGTGGCAACAACACAATCCTTTCTGTACTAGAAGCTCAATACTGCTCCTGTTAAGTGACCGGCAAAATCTCACCAATTTCAACAAGTAGGATTGCACTCCTAGGGTAATCTGCTCAATATATGTTGTTCTTCAGAGTCCCAAATGCAGTTCAGCTAGCACAAGACCCATGTGCCATTTAGGTCCTATTTACCTCTATGCATGGGGTGAATTTCACCCCCAGTGAATTGTGATGTGGTGGGTTTTAATATTGTTAATTAAAGTCATTATTTTTCAGCTATGTTCCAGTGTTCATAATAATTATGCTATTTTTCTTGTGCTTCCTCTGAATGTATTAAGTTCTTATGTATCACAAAAGGAAGTTAGCATTTTAGAATGAATATTATTGGCCAAACTATTGGAAGAAACTAACAATTTAATCTGAATTATAACTCAAGATGAATATCGTCTTTGCACAAATCCTTTACAATCAGAAATGCACAGCAGACTGATAATTTTTTAGATGTAAGAAGAAACAGCATCAGTATGAAAATCACTTTTGGGACTTGATCTAGCATTCTTTGTACAGCCAGAACTCCCACTGACTTTGGTGGGAAAACCGTTAGCCAGTGTCTTTGATCAACCCTGTAAAATGTGATTACAGTTTAAAGTATAATTCACTGATCTCTGCTCTCATGGTCAGCAGCATGTTGAATGTCAAGAACCTAGATCCAATATCCATCGAATGAAAAAGCGAAAGAGATCTCTGAGAGCACAACCATGTGAGAAGCACAGACTTCAAGAACTACGGGCAGTATTGAGGAGTTATATAAATATCAAAAAATAGGTTTTAGAAATATTTATTACCAATGATGCAAATTTGTAAAGTTGTAAATTTTACAAATGATTTTTTAATTCAAATTTTAAATGTTTTTAATTTATTTTGTAAAAACCTTTAACGTACAATTTGCTAAACAAATAGCTTACAACCATAATGTAAGGAGTTATTAATGAAAACAATTTTAATTTTGGGGAGGTGGTGTTCCTACATTGATTGAAGAACGCCTTCCGTATCTGTGCTACAGGATTATGCCAGCATAGCTACAGTGTGGTAGCTATGTCGTTATAGTCTGCATAGTGTAGACATGGCCCTTCTCATTATAACAGAATGCCAGCTGTGCAATAATAAAGATTGAGAACATCTTTCTGTTTAAAGATTGACTCTTAAAGTTGCTCTAAAATCCACATGCTTCTTGTAATGCTTTGAAATGCGATATGCCTCAGGTGGGTTTATGGTAGGGTTATTGATCCAAATTTGGGGGCATTCACAAAAGGGATCCCAGAGATATAACTTCCCGTCCCCTACAACCTCCCCCCCATAGCATTTCTTAATGTTGGCAGATTTAACCAACTCTTTTGTGTAGCACTGCAGATCAAACCATGCCCCTGAATGTGCTCAAACTGATCTCAGTCACTCAACATTTACTCCATGGCACTCACTAAACCGATGGAGGAGCACCATTGAAAATGATACTCAAACTAGTCTGGTGGTTACAATAACTTTAAGCATGTGAGAGAAGACTGGTGTGCCTCTCTTCTCCCAAACCACGTACCCAAAATAGCATCCCCTCCACTATTTCCATCTTAACCTCCCCTTCCCTTTAAACCATTAGAACTTCAGAAGCCAAGTGTACCCAAAAAATGTTCTGGAAGGGTACGAGACACCACCAGGCAACCTTAATTCTGTATTAATGAAGCTTTTTCTTAGTGGATCTCTTCTCTTCCCACCACCAACCCTTCCATTTAGGGTGTCAGCCATACATCTCTACAATGGGAAATAGAGATCTTCCTTCTGAGTGGCTTGTTCTTCTTCCTGTGCTTCTATTTGTCGTCTCAAAATACACTGGTACAAAATATATTATAAAAAAAAATCAGGAAAACACTCTCTCTCACCTATTTTAGGTGAATTAATATTGAAGCCCAAGAATGCATCTATTTTTTGCAGCCTGTTGGAAATTAATCTAGACTCTCTGTAACCACATTTATGGCTGCTGTATCTGTACTAACAGCTTTTGCAGCAACCACAGCTATGGCACCCACAAAAGGCTTGAGGTTCTGGGAACAGTTCCATGGGCCTTGAAAAATCCCCCAAAAGCATGAGTCTCAGGTCAAAAGCCTGAGGTTAGGCAGGTTTTGACAACCATTATTTCTTTAGTTTTCAGCTTTTCTTTTCTCTGTCACAAAGATTTGTCCATTGAAGCTATTCTGGAGTAAATATTTCTGAAGTAAATAACACAACAATAACATGCTGAGAATTAGGGTAGCCACCTGTCCATGTTTTTCCATACTTGTCCCTTTTTGGAGGTAGTAGCTGTCCTGGGAAATCTAGAAGGGTGCTCAGTAAACACCACCATCTGTTCAGTTTTTTGGGCTCAGGATCATCTCGGACGTTGTGTTTTGTTTTGGCTTTTTGGTACCTCAGTGGTGGCAACCCTAGAGAACGTGATTTGTGTGAAACTAAGGGGAAAAACCATCAATCCGATCTAGATCATAAACTCCTTGGGACACCAGAGGGTGTCTAAAAACTCAATCATACTGAATATCATTGAATTCTTACTTCTGTGAAGGGTCCTACTAAAATCAATGGGGATGGCTCATGTTAGCATCAAACACTATGCAAGTTTGCAGGACTGGGCTGTTAGCTGCATCTCATGCAGGACGGGACACAATGTCAGTGATTAACAAATAGACTATAATCATACAAAACTGACAGATGCTTTTCACCATGACGGCGTTGGGGCTCACTCTCCTTCTTTTTTCAAGTCTGGTAATATTTGTTGTTTTTCTCAAAGCCTCAGCTCTTGGAGTCAGGTGATGAGACTCTCAGCTTGCACCTTTAAATAAACAAGATCCGAGCCCTGGTGGCTGTGGAGCAAAGTCTGAGCCCGTCGCCTGGGACGGGAGCCCGCATTTCATTAGTCGGGATCTCAGGCGGCCCGATCTGGGAGCAAGTGGGGCTGGCACAGGACCGCGCGTAGGGAGACGGTGTCGGGAGCCACGAGGATGGGCGCGCTGGAGTACGGATCAGAGAACGCGGTGACGCGAACACTGGCTACGGCACGTGGAGCTCGACGGGAAACCAGTCGCCGGGCAGGGGGCAGCGCCTGCGCAGACGCGATTGGCTGGGGGGGGGGTGTCTTTCTCCCCCCAATCGCGGAAGGCGGAACGCGGAGCGCGCGGACGCAGGCGCGGCGGGGAGCTTTCATGGACGGTCCGGGGCCGCTGGGCTGTTGCTAAGAGCCGGCGGCTGCCGGTGGCGCCGGAAGGGACGGGGCTGGGCCGTTTCCGCTGAGCACTTGGACGGACGCGTGCTTTTGTGGGTGCGGGCGCCGGCGGCCCAGCCTGGGGGATGTCGCGTGCGGGCAGCGCGGTGCGGGCGGCCCCCGGCGGGGGCAGCGGCAGTGGCAGTGGCGGCAGCGCGCTCTTCTCGGGCTTCCGCGCTCTCGGCCTTTACTCCAACCACCTGCCCCACGTGCTGCGCTACCACCAGCGCCACCGCGAGTTCTACCTGCTCACCGCCGCGGGGAGGAGCTTCCACACCTACAACGTGAGTGACACCCCCCACCCGTCGGATCATGTGGCTCCCCTCTCCCCCGCAGCGTGAGTGACCCCCCGGGCTCTCGTGCCCCCTCCTGTCCTGCAGTATGCGTGATCGCCCCAGTCCCCGCCCCACCGGCGGTGCAAGCCGCGCCCCCTCTCCCGGCCCAGCTTCCTCGACCTACAAGGTGCCTTGTTTCCATTTAGGATTTTACACGGCTGTTGCAATAACTCTCCCTTCCCCCATCTCCTCACCCACTTTTTTTAAGCAGGGAAAAGTGAAAACAAAGCGTAAGTCTGTGACACCCACACTGTGTAGCCTCCTGCTCGGAAGCCCACCGCTTCTCTGTTTTCCAGGATCAGTATGGGGGCCACAGCACCTTCCTCTAGATCTGTGCAGATTTTCTTCTGTGCTGTAATGCTGACTCTCCTCAAATGCCCCACTTGGGTCACATCATCCAGAGAGTTAATCTAATCACACAAAAAGTGACTTGTAAGTAAATGAGAGTTCTTGGAATGCTTTGGAGGCAAAAAGCTACTGGGGAGAGGCAGTTCTGGGTTTGATTTTTGATAAATTGGGAGGAACTGGTGGATCATTTGAAAGTGGATGGCAGCTTGGGTGAAACTCATCATAAAATGATAGAGTTCATGATTCTAAGGTGGGGTGGGCAAACCTTTTGGCCACATCGGGGAATAGAAATTGTATGCAGGGCCATGAATGCTCACAAAATTAGGGTGGGGGTGTGGGCTCTGGGGTGGGGCTGGGGATGAGAGGTTTGGGGGGCCGAGCTGCGTGGTGCAGCCCCTCACCCAGTGCCCCGGCCGGAGTGGGGCTGAGCTGCGTGGTGTGGCCCCTGACCCAGCGCTGCGGCCGGAGCGGGGCCGAGCCGCGTGGTGCAGCTCAGGGGCCGTCTTAAAATGGCTTGCGGGCTGGATCCGACCCATGGCCATAGTTTGCTCACCCCTGTTCTAAGGAATGGTAGGATGGAAAAGAGTAGAGTGAAGACAATGGATTTCAAGAAGATAGACTTTAGCAAACTCAGAGGGTTGGTAGGTAAGATCCCATGGAAAGGAAGTCTAAGGAGAAAAACAGTTCAAGAGAGTTGGCAGTTTTTCAAAGAGACATTATTAAGCGTTCAAGAGTAAATTGTCCCACTGTGTAGGGAAGATAGGGAGTATGGCAAGAGACCATCCTGGCTTAACCAGGAGATCTTCAGTGATCTGAAACTCAGAAATAGAGTCCCACAAAAAAGTGGGAATGAGGACAAATTATGAAGAATGACTATAAAAAACAACATGAGCAAAACACATGTAGGGGCAAAACTAGACAGGCTAAGTCACAGAATGAGATTAAACTAGCTAGAGATTTAAAGGGTAACAAGAAAACATTTTACAAATATATTCGAACTAAGAGGAAGGACAGGATAGCCCATTACTCAAGGAGAGGGGGAAAGACAGTAACAGAAAATGTGGAAATGGCAGAAGTGCTAAATTACTTTTTTTGTTTCGGGTTTCACCAAAAATTAGTAGTGATTGGACATCTAACATAATGAATGCCAGTGAAAATGAGGAAGGATCAGAGGCTAAAACGGGAAAAAGAAATTAAAAATTACTTGGACAACTAGATGTCTTCAGGTTGTCTGGGCCTGATGAAATACATCCTAGAGCAGTGGTCTCCAAACCTTTTGATCGGGCACCCCATCAGTAAAAAAATTTTGAGCACGCACCCCCTGTCGCGCTGGCTCTACCATTTTTGCCGAAGAAAAAAAAAAAAAAAAAGCCGCTCGGACTCCCGCCCAAACTGCCAAAGCGCCAAAAAAAAAAAAGCACTCCTCCTGCTGTGCACCCCCAAGGATCCTCTTGTGCACTCCCTGGGGTACGCGCACCCCACTTTGGAGACCACTGTCCTAGAGTACTCAAGGAACTGACTGAGTTGATATTTGAGCCATTAGCCGTTGTATTTGAAAACTCATGGAAGATGGGAGAGATTCCAGAGGACTGGAAGAGGACAAATATAGTGTCAATCTATAAAAAAGGGGGATAAGGATTATCCAGGGAATTATAGACGGGTCAGTTTAACTTCAGTACCCGGAAAGATAATGGAGCAAATAAGCAATCCATTTGCAAACACCTAGAAGATACTAAGGTGATAAGGAACAGTCAACATGGATTTGTCAAGAACAAGGGAATGGTTTTACATGATTTGACAGGGTAACAAGGCTTGTGGATCGTGGGCTTGTGGAAACTTAGATTCCTGGGGAACTTTAATGGTGGAAAGACATATGGGGACTTGAGTGCCTAAAGAATTAGATGGCAGCTGAGCATGCGTTTTGAGGATCTCAGTGGCACCTAAATGTTGGATTTGGGGAGTGTCTAAAGTGGTAGTTAGGTGCCTAAGACATTTGTGGATCTAGCCACCCAGCACTTTTGTACATATATACCAGCCCTGTGCAGATGTTTTGATCTCCACAGAATTTTCTTTGGATCTTGGTGTGCCTTAAGGTTAAGGACCTGCTCCATGCTGGGGAAGGCAAATCTTGTCTCCCAGATGAGATGATTATGAAGAAGTTCAGTGATTGGGAGTATGATTTGGCCCTGTGTCTGCTGGGGTTTTACACTTTGGTTTCTAGTCAGATCATGGCTCTAAAGTGCAGGAGGACCTTTTTCATGCATAGTTCTGAATTTGCAAATGCTAATGTTTCTAGAATGCTGGATTCGTATTTGTAGGAAATTCAGAGCAGAAAACTACTAAAGATCCATCTTTTTATTTATTTATTTATTTATTTTTACAGGTAAAGAAACTTGGTATAGTTGCTGTTAGTAAGTATACCGTTTGTTCTACATCATGCAAATTACTTTTTTCCCCCCAAACAGGTAACACATCTGTATAGACGTGAATTGTGTAATAGGAAGCAAATCTTATCTATAACTAGCTATGTCAAAGTATATTAAAATAGTATCAAGGTTGTAGACTCAAGCACTTAAATGTTAGGAAATGCCAGTATTAAGATTGCCCGTGCAACCTTAATTCTGTGCCCTTGGTACGTGCTATGATAAAGTCTTTAATTAGATGATCACATATTTTTCCACAGTACACCACCCTTGTTCAGTGAATGGGTAGATATTCAAGATTTCTTAACCTACATGTAGCCCCAGGTCTTACATAACACGCTATTGGATCCTGCTGGGCTGAGCCTGATCACCCACACCTGGTTCACCTGGCGCAGAGGGGCAGGGCCTTGGGGTGTTTCTGGGGCAGGCCCAGCCCTTGCACTGTGTCAGGATCAGGTGCAGCCTCACTGCCGAGTCCCTGAACCCTAAACCTCCCACCTCCCCCCGGTTACCTCCCACTTCAGTGCAGCCAGTGGCCTGTGTTCCCCACTGGCATGCTGTAGCCACATTTATTTATTGACAAATAAAATTTGCAGAATTTTAAAATATTGTGTGCATAATTTTTAATTTTTTGGCGCAGAATTCCCTCAGGAGTACTCTCTGCACCTATCCACTCCTCCAAACTCCTGCTGCCCACACTCCTATGCAAACCCTCCCCCACACGATAGGTTCCTGCTCTACCTACTTGGATCAGCCTTATTCACTTCCCTTTCAGCTTCACTTCTCCCTCTGTCTCCTGCAACACCCACTCCCACCCTATTTCTCAGGCCATTTCTATAGGGACTGTTGTGACATAGTTGTGCTGCTGTAGCTATGTCGTCATAACCCCATATTGTAGAGGCAGGCCTACAGTGATGGAAGGGGGTTTTTTTTGTCAGTGTAGGAGCACAACTTCCCCAAATGATGGTAGTTATGTCAAGGAAACCAGTCTTCCATCGACCTACTTGCGTCTACACTTGGGGTTGCGTCAGCTTAGCTACGACAGTCGGGGGGTGGATTTTTCATCTCTCTCAGCACCATAGGTATGCCAGCCTACGTTTTTAAGTGTAGGCCAAGCCTCATTCCTCTGCATTTCAGTGTGGCTGCTTCCTCCTCCTTACTGCCTGGGCACAAGCAGCAGGAGCATTGTCTCTTCTGTGCACTCAATCTCTCTGCTCTCTTCCTGTGCCCAGTGCCACAGAAGCCTGCTGGATGGCAGGCGGAATAATTACAGGGAAAGTCCTACTAGACTTGCAGCCCCACACTGAAGCATGCTCAGTACAGACAGAATCTGCTAACCCCACCCCCCTTCCAGATTTTGAGTCCCTGCTCCAAAGCATGGGGGCATTAGAGCTTCCAAATGAAACCATTGTGGGGAGGAAAAATTAATATAGTCAAAACAATGTGTGTTCTAGTAATCTATTCTGGGAAACAGCAGAACTGTGTTAGCTAAAACTTTTAAGAAGTAGTTAACCTGAAGCAGACGCTCAGCATGGAAAACTTCAGTCCAAATGATTTAAGGATGGCAAAGGCATTAGCCAGTGAAAGTGGGGGTTTTATAATGGGATGTGTCAAGCAACCTTAACTGTAGGCAGCGCTAGTAGCTCTCTTAAGACTTGATGACAAATACAAAAATAGTTGACACTTTTTTGTGTCACTTGTATTATATGCTCCATTTTCATTCAGTTTTCTTAAGGCAGTTCTTGGGCTGTAGGAGTCTTGGAAATGTTATTTTTGGGTAGCTTCTGTAATATATAATGCAGACATATTTTAAAAGTTAATTCATGCCCTAACTCAGTGTTTCCTACATATTTTCTCATTGTGTTCACTTCTAGGAAAACATTTCTCATAATTTAGCCACTTGTTGCCCAAAGACAGCATTTGATAATCTTCTCTTCCTGACGTACCTTAATTTGTTGTTGGTAATTTGCAACCATGAATATGTTGATACGTTGTAAGACATTTTTTATTGTGAAAATGAAAATTGTCAAACTTATTCCTTTCTTTATTCATAGGTAATGCTTTATTACAAGACATTACTTGTTTGGCAGCGGACAGAATGTTGGTCTTTGCTTCATATGGCAATCTTCTCCATGCTTTTGCCCGGAACAAAGAGGTTTTTATAACTTATTTATTGTGTAATAACCAGACACTAAGCCAATATTGATGTGTTTTCTTACTTAAGTCACTTATTCATATCAACTGTAATTTAATTTCACAAGTTTTGGGGACAATAGCCTCACAGTGCTCAGCAATAACAATGGATAAGTTAAAATAAGAAAGGTTTAAGGACAAATTCTACAATGGTTGGGCTGTGACACTTATAAAATGACTATTTCTTTATCAGAGCACTATCTTCAGGACACAAAAGTTAAAATACAATTAAAACTATGACAAAAAAGATTTACCAAGTACACTTTCTCACAAGGAAGCTATCATAAATGAGACTTAATAAATGTGCATATTTACTAGATAAAATACAGTATAAAGTGTATTAACGGGTTTGTGTTACAGGAAGTTGCTATCGTTCAAGTAATATACTACAATATTACAACATGTGAAAAGGTTTACTGAAATGTGTACTTTGAAATCATAGGTGGTTCATATATATGATGGTCACAAAGGAGAAATTCATCTTTTGCAGCCATTTGGTGATCATGTCATCTCTGTGGATATTGATAATGTTCTTATTGTTTGGGATGTACAATCAGAAGGTGAGTCACTATTTCCTCATTCTGTAACTGTCCAAACTGTATCTGTAGTATGTGATAAAAGTTGTAAGCATTTGATAATGTAAGACAATTTGTTTAATGCTTATGCCAGAGTTCTTAATTTTCTTAAGGCAAAATAAAATGGTTGTTGCATTAATGTTTGAAATCCTGATCCTGCAGTGAGCTTCATTGGTGGACCCCTGCACCCATTCAAAGCTCCATTGACTTCGGGAGGAGAAAGGGTTGGAGAGAGGCATGTGGGTGCAGAAGTCTACTTATGCATAACTGGTATCTCTTAACATTCCCTTTGTTCATGAGAGTTGTGGTGAAAGAAGTTTGGTGTCATGTGGAGTCCTAAAATTTCTTCAGTCCCTTTATCTATGACACTGGGTATGGAATGGAAATTGCTTGCTCTCTGGGCAGCAGAAAAAGATCAAGTGCTGAGTTTTTTAGTTGTCAGTAGCCTTTCATAGGATAGGTTTGAAAGGATTAGATTTTTATCAATAAATGTTGATTTCACCATATGTGCACAAACCAGTGAACAAATATTTCCATCAGTGATGATTGAAAACTTACAGATATGCAGAGTAAGAAAAGTCCTGCTTGAGAACTTCTTAGACTTTTGATTTAAGGCATTTACTTTGTGTATTTTGGCTTGTGGTGTTGACAATTTGTTTTAACGGTTATAAAACTTCAACTTTTTGAGTCTGTCTGTTGTCATTAAATAATTGTCTACCCCTGTTGCCTGACCCCTCCCATAGTTTTCCACAACTGTGAAAATTTAAATAGATGATGATAGAAAAAAATTGCTTAAAAATATTATCCATTGAAATTATAAAGTCTAATTGTGCCAAGTTTAAATAAGGTTTTGATGGCTCACTGTTAAGTGGGATCACACTTCGGTGGCTTAATTCTTTCTTTTCAAAGAATTCTCCGATTTTGGTATTGGGCAATGACTCATTAGCCTGACAGGTTCTCTTATGGTGGTCTGTGGCGTTTAACAATTTTTAAAATAACTACTACGCTTCTAAGTTGGAGTTCATGTATTAACAAGACTTTGTTATAATGTAAACAGAGGACATGATAATCAAGTGAGATGTTCTGCTCAGAAAGCACAATAAGAATCCTTTATAATGATATAAATCGGTTCTGTGGGGCACTATAAAGTAAGCTACATAACTTGCCACGAGATGGGTCAGGTTCATATGAGGTTTCTGGTGCTTTCAGGGAAGAAATCCCAGTTGTGAGGACTTCTTCCCATTTGTGCATGTAAAAGATAAAATGATTATTTCTTAAAAATTTGCAAAGAATGGCTAACTTGGAATGTTTGTAATGGCAGCATAACTAACATAGTTTCTTATGTCTGCAGAAGAATACCTACAACTGAATTTTGATAAGGCTGTTTTTGCAGTTTCTGCAATTATGCATCCAAGTACCTACTTAAATAAAATTCTCCTTGGCAGTGAACAAGGAAGCCTGCAGTTATGGAATGTAAAATCCAAGTAAGATTCTTTATTCTTTAAGTACATTTCACTCTCCAGGTGGAGCTATACTCAGAGTTTTAACATTTTCTAAATAAAATGATCTCTTAATGCAGGTCTATTTTTTCTAATTCCTTCAGCAGAAGAGCCCCCTCAGTGTTGTTTTCAGAAATATGGGTAATACAGTTGCCTCTCTCATGTGACTGAAAATGCTATTTTTTCAAGCCAGGATTTTTTTGCTGTGAAGTGCAGGTTTCTTCAGTAATCTTCCTTGCTTTCATTTCCCAACCCCGACCCCACTCAGCATTTTAGCTAGTTGTCTGCCTGATGAAGTACGGCAGAGGAAGTAGTTGTTAGGGTTACCATATCTATTAAATAAAAAAAGAGGACCCTCCACGGGCCCTGGCCCCGCCCATTTCCCCACCCCCAGCCCTGCCCCAACTCCACCCCTTCCCCGCCCTAACTCCGCTCCCTCCCACTCCCAGCCACGGGGAAAGGGCTGCCGGAGCGCTACCGGCTTCACGGTTTGCCGGGCAGCCCCCAGACCCTGCGCCCCCGGCTGGCGCTTGCCCAGCGCAGCTGGAGCCTGGGAGGGGAAGCGCCCAGCCGGGGGCGCAGGTTCTGGAGGCTGCCCGGCAAACCGTGAAGCCGGTAGCGCTGGCTCGGGCAGCTCGGCTCTGAAAGTCTGAGAGGGGAGGAGCGGAGCAGAGCAGCCGCTGGAGAGGAAGTGCCCAGCTGGCATTTTCCCGGACATGTTTGGCTTTTCGGCAATTCCCCCCGGACGGGGGTTTGATTGCCGAAAAGCCGGACATGTCCGGGGAAAAAACGGACGTATGGTAACCCTAGTAGTTGTACAACTCCTCCCCCTTAAAATTGTTGTCCAGCCACTGAGTGGGCCCATGAGGAGGAGGGAGATATGCCTAGCTGAGTGTGGGGAGCAAGGTTTCGCACCTGTTCAGCTGCTGCAGGATTTGGGACTGAGATCACTACTCAGATTATGCCTCCTCATACTCTACTACAGTAATTCAAGGTGGGGAAGAGACTTGCTGATTGGGGGCCCTGCCCTGTTGTTGATTCAACTTGTTTTACTTTGCCCCAATTTGCCAGTACAGGCATCTGAAATTGAAAACACGTAATTGCATTGTAGAAGTTGTTGGGGTGGAGGGAGTTGTACATTCCAGTTCTCCAAAGTGAAATTTTCAAAAATGACTTCTGCACTGAGGACGCCAAGTCCCATTGACTTTCAGTAATCACATTAATACAAAAGGCCATAATTACGACTCATGGCTTTTGTAGTAGCTGGTAGTTTCTCTCTTGGGTGGTGGGCTGAGTAGGTGTTTGAATTCATATGGTAGCAAATCTCCAGGCTGCTCATCTGCACTCTTTCTGCCAAACCACAAAACTCCACTATGTGGAGTCCTCTTATACAGACTACTATGTTTTCTTCCCTCTTTCCTCCCATCCTTGCAGAGTGGAAGCTCTGCTGTATTTTAGGGCCTTCCATTCCTGTGTGAAGGGAAGCAGCATTTGGCCCTTAGACTGAAACAATATCTGTATTTGCTTGCAGACTTGCCACTGCATTGGGACATGTTTAGAATATCTTCACAGCCAGAGCTAGGAACTTAATTTTTTTAAAATAACTTAAATTCTTTAAAGACTGTGCAGGCAAAATAAGTGTTAATCAGTGACTATTGAAGGAATCCAACCCGTGTAGGGGTCAAGCATAGGAGTTTATTACGCACAGCGCTGGCGGAGTGTCACCTTGCTTATTAGGCTCAGAGACACTGTCAATCAGTTGATTACAATAGAATATATAGATTTTCCCTGGGCAGGGGAAAGTGACGGGTTGGCAGTTCCACACCCCGGGATAGGTTTTGCAGCAAGACAAGATAGCACATTAGCCAATGGTTAACAGGTTACATAATGTCTCCGCCCATGGTCTCAAGTTAGAAAGTTAACATTTAATTAATACTTTGATAAAATGTTATTTATATATGTATGTATGTATGTATGTATGTTGAATTCTGATTTGGGATCCATAGGAATGAAGCAACTCCTTTGATTGTCCAACAGGTACATTCCTAGGGGTTAAAATAAAGAAACAGTGAAAGTGTATGGCAATAAAGATTGTCTCCTTTGTGTCCCTGGGAAAGGGAGGTGGGAGGATGCCATATCTTATACTGACACGTGCCAACCTTTCATAAACTCAAGGTTGGATCTGTGGGAAGAACGTCTTCCCTACAGAAGAAACTAACACAATAGGAATAGGGATTCTTTGTTCAATTTGAAACATAATTTTTCAGTTATTGCTTCAACATCTGGCATTTCTACTGACCAAGCATATCTTAGCAAAGGCAATGTTATCTTGTTTATTCTGCTTTCTCTTAGCTAATCACTATTTGCTAGGCCTCTGGTCTCTTGACCAGACTCTGGACTTCGGGTCTGGAAAAGAGCTGGCACAATCCATATATCAGGTTGTTATATAAAATGCACATAGATTTTTAACCCTTCAATTATATATAGTTTTAATGAGTTTGTTCTTTTTAATTTGTTTTTATATGTATTTTAATACTTTAAAAATCTGGATTTAGTTTTAAGTTTTATTGTAATATATTTTGGTTTTGGCACAATGGCCTGTGGCTGAGTTACTATTAATAAGCTTGACTTAAGTGTTGGTACTCTATCTTTCCATGAGCTGGCTATTTCCAACTCTAGAGTGGGAGACCTCATTATGGGTGCACACACACTCTGTAAATGTGAAAATATATATGACTACAGTTCATGAGAATTTACACTTGTCATGTGCTTCAAGGTTTTAGTCTCATAGCAATTACACATTTTCAATAATATTATTGCTCTTTTATTTTTATTCAGGGTAGCTATATGGTGCTATCAATGCTGTACAAAAACTACTAAAAACAGGATTAAAATAGAATTTTTTTCTTAAATTCCTTTTTAAACAAAGATAGAGTAGGTGATCGCAGTTTGAAATGAATGCACTGCTTGGGCTTGTTTCAGCATTCTCTCACTTGTGTGTAAACATAATCGAGGATTATGTTTTAAAGGCCTGATGTTGAGCCAGGTGCCTACTTCAATGCTTACTGATTTAGATAACCCCATGGCATCAGTGGGAGCATTTGTGGTAATCCGCACCAGTTAGTGGGTGCAAGATTGAGCCCTAAATTTGATTTAAGTGAATCTGCCTTGTAACCCAAATACCAAAAAAAAAATTTTTGAATGACTTTTTGTATAGCATGCGAAACTAAACATTTAGTTTCATTATTTGATAACTAATAAACACAGCCAAACTTAATTTTACCAAAATATTTTTATTGGTGCTTATAGTGAAAGTACATATCCGGTCATGTCGTTTAGTCACTAATGTTACATCATGCACCTCTCATGCTTCAAGCATTCTATAATCAGGGCCTTGTGTATAATTTCCTTTGCACTCAGTTTTACCACTGCTCTGCCTGAAAATAGTCTCATCCTGAAGACATATAAATGACTGTATTACCCTAATTTTTAAATTCTATAGATTTTTTTTTTTTAATGTATGCTGCTAGCCTTCATTCTCTGTCATACTTCTTTCTAGATGTACTTGCTAGACATTCATTTTGATGTAGGCTTTTTCTAAATGTAACTTCTAAAACACTTTCTTTTCACAGCAAACTTTTATACTCATTTCCAGGATGGGGCTTAGGGGGTGTGACAACCCTCGAACAGGTTAGTTTTGATCGTTCATTGGTTTGTAAAAGGTAAATGTAGAACAGCAGTCAGTGTTGTTTAACATTCTTGTACAGTGCTACAGGTGCATATTGTGTACAGAGAGTATAGATAATATCCCTGCTCGGAGAAGCATACAATCTAGAGGACAAGCCCTGTAAATCCTTACTAGCTCACATAGCTTTCTTAACTGGTTACTCCACTGAGTAAGGACTACTTCGGTGACTTAAGTTTTTAGGGTATTGGTGTACCGTAGGTCAGCTTATTTATGTTGCCAGTTACTTCTGAAATTCGTTGTTGTTTTTTTTAAATCGGGGGGAAGGGGAGAAATCAAACTTTTGCCAAAATGAAAAGAACAACTCCAAAAAAAACCCAAAAAACCAGCGGGCTATTACAAACAAAATAAAAACAAACTAAAAGTATGATACCAGACGGTATTCTATAACATCGGCTGCTCAAGCTTCTGCGAACAATTTTAATTTCATATACATTTATTTTTAGTGCAACATGTTCAATCTCACTTTGATGCTTTAGAATGGTCAAATGCTCAATTATAGATTAAAATAAGTGAATTGATATGTGGTAGGAAACGAAGTGCAAGATTTATTAAGTACTTGACTATAAGGTTAAACCATTCATTTTAGACCTAAATTTACTTGAATGTCATACATATCGGGTGTTAACTTGCTGTACCTGTAACATATTGGTATAGGAAAAGCTTATGGACCATGAAGTAGGTTACACAGAACTTGACATAGCATGTTCCAGCTAAGTTTGCAAAATTAAGCACTCAAGTCAGGAAATGAGATCCACGTGCATATTTTATACTGTACAGATTTTAGTTACGTATCACAAACACACACATTGTGTAAGACTGCCTCCCTTACATAGTGCACAAGTTGGACAGTGAACGAAGAACCGATGTGAAATTTACTAGACTTATTTGAACATATTTAAGGGGAAACATTTATCTAGTACAGTTACTTACCAAAAATCTTTTTTTTTTTTTTCTAGGAAAGTTTTTAATTGCTTAAATTTATTTCTTAAATTATTTTTATGCTAAATTAATGCATTCCCTTCCATTGGTTGCACATCCATGGACTTCCTCCTACTTCACTACACATTGTTGCTCCTGTGCACTGAAGGCTGAATTGCTCAGAATTATACTGAAATTAGGTCAAATCCAGTGACTCAGTAGTTTTATTCTTAATTTATGTTGTGTAATTTCAAACATAAGTTTTTGGTTAGAATGGAGCAGAATCCCTGCCTAATTTGCTAAGAAGAAATATCTCATTTGCTTTGCAAATTCAACCTGTTCAGTGAATGAAGCAGTGATGTTGTAATAAGATGTCATGTAGTTAAAGAATATATTAATGCATTCAGCAGAACTTATTTTTTAATAGGAAAAATACAAACGAATGGAGAGGAATCTGTTTAATTTCTCTCTCATCATTTAACTATCTTTTACAGGCACCAGCAGTAGATGTAGTTGCAATAGGTCTCGTGTCTGGTCATATCATTGTGCACAACATTAAGTTTGATGAAACACTGATGAAATTTCAGCAAGACTGGGGTCCCATCACAGCAATATCTTTCCGTACAGGTAAATTCTAGCAGTTTGATTAGTCGTATATGCAGATCAAATTAAAACAGTAATATTAATTGAAAAGTAGAAAAATTAAACATATTTTTAAGGTATTGTAGGCACAAAACTTGGTTTTGTGTCTTGGGTTTTTTAAAGTTTACAACGGCTAAAAGTAATAAACTTGTGATATTTTCTTATATAGTTGGAAAAATTGCAAATCTTGCAGGGGAATGTTTAAAATCTGTATACGGCAACATTTTACTATTTCATAAATAGGAAATAACATTCACTCAAAACAGATCAGCCTAGTAGTAGGGGTCAGAGTATTCTGCAGTACAGCAGATTTGGCTCTTGCTGCAGAATTGTGTTCTGAGATGTGTAGGCAGCACCTATTCCTGTCATTCATCTAACTCTGAAATCTAAAGATATAGCCAGTTAAATATCCACTGTGGGGTTTTGTGAATCTTCCTCTGAAGCATCTGGTACTGGCCATTGTCAGACCAAGATACTAAACTAAATATACCTGGTCTGATCTGATATTGCATATCATCTGGTCCTATTACTGATGGTGCTGTTCCATTCTCTCTCTCAAAAATTAGATCACTATGATAAATGATTGCTTTAATTTTATGTTCTATTTAGGAATGAATTTTTTCCTCTGATTGTAATCTTTGAGAGAGATTTGCTTACATGAACTTTGAAAAGTTAAAATGATTGAAAGCTATAAGCAATGTATAGTAAAAAAAAAATTTTGGTTTTGGATTCTCCCCTCCCCCCCCTTCATTTTGTGATCAGATGGTCATCCAGTCATGGCAGCTGGAAGTCCTATTGGACACATTGCACTGTGGGATCTGGAAGAGAAGAAACTAATTAGTCAAATGCGAAATGCCCATTCCACAGCAATAGCTGGTATGTCATTTGTCCAGGGAGAGCCACTTCTTGTTACTAATGGTGCTGATAATGCTATAAAGGTAAGCTTTTTTTTTTCTGCTACTACCGTTGTGGTAAATTTATTTTTTTCCAGTGGTCCTCCAAAGTATGAATACTTGTGTAGACTGAGGTAGCTCTTTTCAGTTGCATCAGCATGTACAGTAAAACCAAAGTTACTGAACATGACAGGTTATTGTTTCTAACTACGTTATACCAATCTATTTTTTCAATAGGAGTTACTGTTATGTCTACTGATGTTCCATTTCTTTGCATTTCTTGAGCAGATATGGATCTTTGATGGCCCTGGAGGTGGTGGTCGTTTGTTGAGGTGCCGTATGGGACATAGTGCTCCTCCAACAAAAATCAGATACCATGGGCAAAATGGACAACAAATTCTTAGCGCAGGTAGAAATCCTCTGAACTTCTCAAATGTACCCATTTTGTTCTGCGCTGTTAAATAAACTTTTCAGCTTATTGGCTAGTGATAAGAGATATAACTAGCAATGTCTTTAATTTCATTTTGACAATGCATTGCAAATTACTGTATTTAATCATTTAGGTACATTAAGCGTACTGAGTAATTCTTTGAGTGATTGCACATGTGCATTCCATGCGTGGTGTCTGCACCTAGTGCTCGGTTGTTTGTAAACTTTCCTTCAGCTGTACCTGTTGGGTGGCTTGTACTCCCTCTGCTGCCATGCACCATTGTATAAAGGGCAGAGTGGCTCCTAGTCCCACTCAGTTCCTTCTGAGCACCCGTGACAGTCATCAGAACCCTTGTTCATTACCAGAACAGTTCTTTCTCAGCTTTGTGTATGATGATGTATATAATAGAGCTAGTCTGGTAGTTAGTATAGCTGTAGGATTTTGATGTTTAAAAAAACCCCCAGTTTTCCCCTCCGCCCCCCGCTTCAGGGTTCTGCTGATGGCACCAAGGTATGCCCTAGTCACTGGGCTTCAAGCACTGTGCTTCTTGCTCAAGGCCTGTGCTAGCGAGCAACTCTCACTATAGTTACCTGAGGTGCCTGGCTAAAGCAGATTTAAAAGACTGGTGCCAGATTTGCAGGGAATTCAAGCCTAGAATGAAGAAGCATAGGGAGGCTAGGGTGAAATTCCTGCTGTTGGAGTTGGCAATCAGGCCACCATCGAAGCTGGCCCGGTCTTACTTGGTGCTGAGTACTGCAGCTTCAGTGAGAAGTGCACCTCCAGCATTATTGGAATCTGGTCACCAATCTCTCATGCCTGTGCTAAGAAAGAAGACTTCCAAAGAGGCTCAGAGCAGGGGAAGATATCTACCCTTAAAGTCTGGTAAGAGGGGTGAGAACATGTTGAATTGAGTGCATCTGAAACCTAAGCACTCCTCTCCCAAATCAGTGCTCTAGTCAGCACAGTTGGTTTCAGTGTTGCACCGTCAGCTTCATTGTCACCATAAGAAGATACCACCTCAGTGCCAACTACCCTGGAGGCGCTTGAGGCAGCAAGAAATTTGCTCTGCCTCTTGGTACTGGTGTCTCCATTGGTACAGGACTGGGGTCCCTCGGCACCATTGTCCCATCCATTACCATCTCCAGCAGGCCAACCTGCGATACCGAAGTTGCCTACTTCCTAGTCAGTCCATTCGTACCCTGCAAGGGGAACCTTGCAATGATGATGACGCTCCATCTATCACCAGGTTCTCAGTACTGGTCCCTGTTATTGACTGGATGAGCAACTTAGAGATGGGATTTTATGTCTCACAAGCCTGCAGCTGGACCTGTCAGTCCCCTCGGGGATCCTCTCTCCCTGCCTACCATTGAGACCCCACAATGGGAGTTGCCAAGAAAATGTGGCTAGGTCACTGGGGTCTAGCCTTGTACCAGTAGCCATTTTGGGACGCTTTGGGGTTTCCCCAGTTTCCAGATCTCCCCCCTCACTGTGCCTATTCAGTGCCCTGGGGACAGGGTTGCGCATCATCTGGGGACAGCCTGCGCACTGGTCTGCTCTGTCTGCAGGGTCCAGTTCCAGGACCAGAACCAAACATCAGGAAGAGGTCCTAGAAGCCAGGAACAGCCTGTAGGAGAGCTTCAATCTCCTCACTCTTGGCTTTCTCTTCATCCTATTCAGATGATGAGGTTTCTCTGGATGACTTTAAAGTCTGAGGAGTTGTGAAAGAGTGGCTGCAGACTTGGGCATGCAGGTCAGGGAGTTCTCCTATAACTTGATTGACATGTTATCAACTGTCGGTCCCTCCAAGTGGCTCTGCCAATTAATGAGGCAATACTATAGCCTATAAAGCCTCCATGGCAGATCCCGTTATCGTTGCCTCCCACTTCAAAGAGAAAATACTATGTGCCCACCCAATGTTTTGAGTACCTTTATACACACCCACCTCTGGGGTCATTAGTCATGGCAGCTAATGAGAATAGGTGACAAAGACATCAGACTGCTGCCCCCAAATCAAAGGACACAAAGAGAGTGGACTTATTTGGCAAAAAGATTTATTCCATGGAGGGTTTGCAGCTGTGTATTGCTAACCAACAGGCTCTGCTGGGGTGGTACAGTTTTAATTTATGGGGCTCCATGTAGAAATTCGGAGACCTACTTCTGGAGATGGCTAGGCAGGAGTTCTTTTCTCTGGTCAGTGAGGGCAAATTAGTCGCAAGAACATCACTGCAGCTAGGACCATGGATTTTGCGGTTGCCAAGTAAAAATTCTCCTGGTTAGTCTTCTGATGTCCCCTATGAAGTCCAGAATACTATTTGGGACTTGCCATTTGAGGATACTTCTCTGTTCTCAGACCAGATGGACAGAGTGTTCCATGGCTTAAGGACTCTAGAGCCACCTTAAAGTCCTTGGGTTTGTACATAGTGCTTTCTGACTGGGGGAAGATCTCAACATTGAGAGACACTGATTTCCCTGCCCCCTTCTTCCCCTCCCCCCCCCATCTGCTCAACGTGACCTGTCAAAAAAGAAGTCCAGGGGTTTTAGGTGCAAGCCTCGCCCTGCTGCTTCAGCTCCAGCTTGGGCCCTTTGGTACTTCCTGGATGTCTTAAGCAGTCGTTTTGATGGCCCTGTTGAGGTTGCCATGCCATTCTCCATCACTCCAAATCCATATTCCCCCACCTTTGCAAACAGTCTGTCTCACTTCTTCAGTGCTTGCTTCTGAACTACTTCGGACCTGTGGGTTTTGAACACTGTGGAGGTGGGATTTACTCTCCAGTTTGCTTCTACCCCTCCCTCACAACTTCCCTCCCTGCCCCCTTCAGGGACCACTCTCACAAGGAGCACCTCTTCCAGGAGGTACACTCTCCCCTTCAGTTGGAAGCTGCAGGGTAGGTTCCATGTGATCTCAGAGGGAAGGGGTTTCATTTCCACTATTTCCTCATCCCAAAAGCAAAAGGGGGGGAGGGAAAGAGGATCTCAGACCAATCTTAAACATGTGTCAATTCAACAAATTCTTGAAAAAGATAAAGTTCTTCAAGTAGTATTCCTATGGGTACTTCACTCTAAGTGCACTTGCACCCCAGGCGCCTTTGATTGGAGATTTCTCATAGCAATGTCCATTTAGCCCACACGTGTGTTACCCAGCCTTGTGTTTTGTGCCATTGTTACATAGCACTGTGTGGGCAAACCGCCCTCAGTTCCTTCTCAACCACCTCAGCCTGAGATTGAGCCTTTGTAGTTGTCCATGTTGAGTTTTAGCTCAACTGTGTCCCCTTAGCTCTTTTTGTAGTTGGTTTATTATAGTTAAGGCTACGTTTTAGTCACAGGTATTTTTAGTAAAAATCATGGACAGGTTATGGGCAGTAAACAAAACTTAACGACCCGTGACCTGTACATGACTTTTACTATATACCCCTGACTAAAACTTGAGGGGGAGGGCGGCGCACGGCCCAGGATCCCCACCGGTGCTGGGTGGGGGGGTGGCAGGGCTGGCAGGCTCCCTACCTGGCTCTTCCTCCGGGGCTCCCCGGAAGCAGCGACATCCCCCTTGCTCAGCTGCTGGCACAGCGCCCATTGGTCGCGGTTCTCGGCAAATGGGAGTTGTGAAGCCAGCGCTCTGAGTAGAGGCACGGGACAGCGTGAGGCGGGTTTTAGGCAGTACTTACCTGGGGGGCGCCCCGGAAGCGGCACCATCCCCCTCGCTGAGCTGCAGGCACTGCCCCCGCAGCTACCATTGGCCTCGGTTCCAGGCGAATCGGAGCTGCGAAGCCAGCGCTCTGGGCAGAGGCAGTGTGCAGAGCTGCCTGGCCATGCCTCCACCTAGCAGCTGAGCGAGGGGGATGTCACTGCTTCTGGGGAGCCCACCACCCAGAGCCCGCCTCACCCCGTCCTGTGCCCCAACCCCCTGCCCCCTCCCAAACCCAAACTCTACCGCTGCTGGGGGCGGGGTGGCCCAAGATTGCCCCAGCAGCAGCCGGTGCGTCTGGTGCAGGGGCTGCCTGAGCTGCCCCTGAGCCAGGCATACCAGCTGCTGCAGAGGTCATGGAAAGTCACGGAATCCGTGACTTCTGTGACAAATCCACAACCTTAATTATAGTTAGTAAGTAGTAGTAGTTTTAGTTTAGAAAAAATATAGCTAGCTAGCTAGTTTCTCCCCTCCTGGGCATTTTACTTTACTGGGAGGGTAAGCCTGGTTTTCTGAGTTTCACACATTGCCTTTTGTGCCAGGAGGCAGTCCCAGTGAGTGATGGGCACTCCCTGTGCATCTGTTGCCTTGGGGAAATCTCACATTTCCCAAAAGTGCAAATTTCTGTCTGGCATTAAAATTTAGGGTCAGAAAAAAAACAGGGAGCTCAAACTTGGACACTTCATGATGGAGAGTTCGCAGCACCTGGCTTCTGACCCAGGCCAGGGGACCTCCCTGTACCCTGTCTCCAAATAAGTCTGGTGCCTCCGAGCCACACTCCTTGAGGGTATCTAAGAGGAAGACCCAAGATTCTTCCCATAAGATTCCCAAAGACTGTCCCTTGAGTTCTCCAGGTTGGGATTCTCCCTTTAAGAAGTTGTGGTCTCTGACTCCAGCCACTTTGGCACCCATTGCTCTCCAACCTGGTATGAGTCTGCTAGTTCTTCAGGTACCAAGGGCACTGTTAGACCTAAAGACTCTAAAGTCTGGGGCTCAGACAGGTCATTGGTCTGTGGGGAATCTTTCAAGCACTTATGTCTTGGTGCAGAGGGACTGGGCTCCCCGCCCCAGACTCCTGTCATACAACCCTGGCTTTCTTAATACAAGCCGTCCTGCACATAACCTTCCTAAGTTCCATATACACCCCTGCTCTTCCCAACCCCAAAATTGCCACTGAATCCCCACTTACTCGACTTCCTCCCCTGCTCCCGAAATAACCTTCTCCTGTAATGCCCATCCCCCTGCCTTGTATGGTCCCCACCCCATGCAGCCTTGCTTTCGCTCATCTCTGCTCCTTCTTTTTATCTTTTTTTTTTCCCCCCGGCTGGCAGAATTGGTTTGGTTGATTTGTGTACCTTAACTGTGTTTTGATGCCTTAGCCTGTTTTGGTTTCTTTAAAGATTAGCTTTTATTCATTTCCTGGGTTTGTAACACTTGTTTTGGGATAACTGTAAACTTGTGGGGTTTTTTGGTTTTTTTTACTCATAAATTTGTGCTTTTAACCCTAACTCCAGGTTGTTTTGTTTTGTTGTCTGTGTTTATTGTATATCAAGATTTGGACATAAACTGCTTGACTATTCCTGTAGCATTCTGGTTTATCATTGTTCAAATGTCTGTTTTTGATCTTTGTGACTTGGGCATAAGCTGATATTGTTATGGATAGGTATTTAGTTTTCTTTTTCTTAATATTCCATCAGGTCAGGATGGAACCTTGCAGTCTTTTTCCACAGTGCATGAAAGGTTCAATAAAAGTTTAGGACGTGGTAAGTAGTACAACGAATGTACAAATGAGAGGAATAAAACATTTTTTAATTATGTAAAAATATAGTATTAAAAATGACATGACTTTGTACTTTCCTACTTGTACAAGTACCAAAGCATATCCTGTAGGGCACGGTGAGCTTCAGGGCACATTTTACATACAGCACATGTGACTGAAGTGTCTTTGTGTGGTAGTATAGTTAAACACTTTAATTAGAATTAATTTGCTAAAGGCTGACTTTTTAGAACTATATCATTCTACTATGGGAAATAATTCCCTGTTTTTTTAATATGAATTATTTTGTATTAGTGGAGTATAGAATAGTAGGCATTTTTTCTGTTTTAATTTTTTACATATTTAATATTAAACTTTCTCTCTTCCCCCTCACCCTTTAGATTGTATCTCTTAAATCTGGCTGTCCACTTCCTCTTCTCACTTTCCAACAACACCTCGCAGCTGGTTGGGTGGCTTTCAAGCATATTTTTTCCCTGGTGGGACTACATTTTGGGAGTATGTTGTGTTCTTTATTTAGCCTCTTAACAAAAATAATCTTGAAAGTAACCTCTGCTGCATCTGAGGAACTTGCTTTTCCACTAATTGAAATGATATAATGGGGTTACAGATGTGCATAGATAAAAATAATTGTAAAAGTGGTCCTCTGGTGATGTCATAAATTTGTTTTCTGGGGAATTTGTAATACTTGTGATATCTAAGAACATTAATAAGCTAAGCCTTACAACATCCTGAGAAACGTGAAGTATTCTCCAAATTTTACCTAAGAGGAACTGAAGTTCAAAGATTAAGACTTTGCTACTCTCTCACAGGAAATTCAGATTTCTTGACTCCAACTCTTTTGTGTTAATCACTAGATTGTATTTCCTACTCTATTATAAAAATAGTATATGACATTTCTGAAAAGATCTAAGATACCTATCACACAGAAATGGCATTTAAAAAAAGTTAGTTGCAAAGTCAAGCACTCAAAAGTTAGGAAATGCCAGAATTAAGCTTGCTTGTGTAATGTTTGTTTGGTCCCCTTTTGTATATGTATTATGATACCCGATCGCATGCTATATTTCTCCACAGTACCTCTGCCTCATTAAATGCACAGAATGGATGGCGCTTACTGAATGAGCTTCAATTCCATATTTTGTTTTCTCCTCACTGAATATGTGACCTTCGGCCTTATTTACTGCAGACTATTCAAACTCTGCTCTGAAGACAGAAGTGTTAATTTCCTCAAAGACTTTTCTGTGGTGCTCATCCCTATAGTATCTGGGTGTTTCACAAACATGAATCAATTTTCATAGCTCCCCTGGGAGGTGAGGGGGTGGCATTATTCCCTTACAGATGAGGAACTGACGCACAGAGATAGTGAGATCAAAAGCATCCACTAATTTTGAGATTCCTAGGCATGATATTTCAGCACATATATATTTAAAGCTCAGTTCCCATTGACTTCAGTTACAGCTGTGTGTGTTGAGCTCCAGGGTCTCAAGACAGACTCCCAGGAACACATAGTGACCACCTGTAAAAAGTTTGGTTTATGTGGCTTGTCCAGTATGATACAGACTCTGTGACAGAGGCAGGGATAGAATCAGTTTTTCCAGGGAAGCATTCAACTGCCTTAATTATGAGACTGTCCTTTCTTTTCCTGAAGTTTCCTGCCTCCTTTACTGCACATCTTTCAACTACAGCCACTGCAACAAAGAGTACAGGATTGCTACAGAACACATCTTCATTCACTACACAAACCTGATTCATTGCCAGAGCACTATCCATCTGGTACACTGAATGATAAATAGTATGTGATCATGTCATTAAAGACTGTATTCTAATGCATATTCACACAGATGTTTAATTATTTCCTAACTTTCCACTGCTTGACTCTGCAACCTTTCATGCTGTTTTAATGTAGGTTTTTTGCATGTAATCTACTGGCTTTTTAAAAAGCAAACTAGAAAAAAATTAGAAATGCTAACACATGAAATCATACTGATCCCTGCATGGTTCAACAACAGGATTTGGACCTTTAGATCAACAGCACAGATCTCTGCCACCTGAGTGAATGGAGTAATTGATTATATTGGCTGGTCTACCATTACTAAGGGGTTTGGGGTACGCTTTGCCAGTGGGTTTCAGAGATTTACTGACAGGGAGGAATATTGAGGCTTGTGAATCTTGCGTTCAATTCCAGGTTCTGGAGTGGAGATTGCAGTAGTAGAGAGCCTTTTGTCCCCGGTCCCCCAGGAAGCCTGACCACACAACCCTCTCCATGGCTCCCAGTTCCAGTTGCTTTCGCTTTCTCCCCTCTTCCCTGCCGCCAGCTCCTTGTCCTAGTATACTTCATCTGTCCCCACCACTAGTCCAGCTCTTGTTCCCTCTGCACTGGAGTCGGGCTGCTACTTCATGCTGTTTGTGGGCTCCAGCAGGGAGATCATCAAGAGCACAGGAGAGAGAAGCTCTCTGCTCTTGGTTCCAGTGCCTGCTGCCACAGCAGCTTCTGGCTGCTGAAAGGAGCAATTGGAGGGAAAGTCCTGATTCAGCCGTTTTGCCATGGGCTGGAGCGTGCCCAATACAGACTCTCTCTTCTGAGAGTTTAGGTGCCAAACTCTTAGAAGTTGCTACTGAGCATGTGTGAATTATTTTTTCAAAGGCTTATAACTTGGCCAAATTTGGTGAGATTTTTACCAGGAACAGCAAAAGGCGCATCCCAAACACAAGAATGGTCTGACCCAGTATGACCAATGGTCCATCTAGCACAATATTGTGTCTTCCAACAGTGGCTGGTGCCAGATGTTTCAGTGAGAATGAACAGAACAGGGCAATTTCTTGAGTGATCCATCTCCTGTCATCCAGTCCCAGCTTCTAGCAACCAGAGGTCTAGGGACATCCAGAGCATGGGATTGTGTCCTTGACACCAGGGTAACAGCCCCCCTGCATGCTAAATTTCAAGTCCTGATTCCAAAGCATGGAGGAACTGGAGCTTCTCAGCAAAATGATTGGAGGAATTTTTTAACATGGGCAAAACAATTTTTTCCTCTAATCTCAATCTCCGAAATGGCTGAATGGTTTGTGCTGAAACTTTCCCAAACTGTTCCATCAGAGGCGGGCATTCAGTATGAAAAATCTTACCCTGAGCAGTTAGTGTGGCAGAATTTAAGCAACTGAAAACAAGGTCTTTATAGTGGGAAGTGCTGGACAACCTTATAAGCAGTGCTATGAGTTTTATCTATTAGACTTTAATGTTAAAAGTTTTAATTTATACATTTTAGAAATGTTTTTTAAACAAAAGATTAATGTATTCTATATTTTTACTGTGACCTTTACATTTAGTAGATTGTCTATACCTTAAGGAAAATTTGTGGCTGCATATATTTTTAACTGACTGAGAGTTGCTGACATTTTTCTGGTATTTTAAAGGTTCTATAAACAAAAAGAAATCAAAAAGGAAAGGTCTTCAGTATGATACAATGGCTCTTCCACCTATTACTGCATTTGCAACAGGTAGGTAATATTTTATGTCATATGTAGGAGAGGAGTCGTCCCTCTGCTCACAGTAACCTGCTTCTTCATTTTTACATTTTTGGTAACATATTCATAAATTTACTAATTTATCAGAAACCCTAATTAATCTTTTTGAGGAGATATATTAGAATGGTACAACTCTTTATATACTGAACTGTGACTAGCTGGGTAAAAAGGTGGCATTTTTATATAAACTGTTCCCTCTGAGTACTCTCATTAGAGCTTCAGACTCAATACGGGTGTCTAAGAGTGAACTGGATTTTACTCTGGCTCATGCATCATCGGAGATTTCACTAAATTTTGATTGCAGGATCTTTATTGTTGGTGATACACAAGTCAGAAACACCTTAACTTTCTTTATATTTTCACGACTGAGTTTATAGGATTAGCTGACAGGGGGACCAGCTGGGAGAAATTGCTAGTGAAAGGAAATAGCTATTTGTGATTAACACGTGTTCATGGCATAGTTAAATTCTTACTGTTACTAATGTGTGTATCCTGCATTGTCAGTAAAATTGTATGTAGATGAACGTATGCAGAGAAATATTTCATTATTTTTTGATAGTGCCTACAATATGATGATTCTCAAACTGGATTTTTTGTTTGTCATGTTAATACATTGGAAGGATTTTCTCCTTAAGATTAAGGCCCCAAAAACTCATCCTCTTGCACCAGAAGCAAAAGCAATTGTAGTTGCAATTTCATTTTAACAATGTCAACACATTAATAGCCTACATATTGTAAAAACAAATGTTCAATTATAATTTGTGTAATTTTAAAGCTTACATTTTGGGTGTTCATATATTACAGGGGTCGGCAACCTTTGAGAAGTGGTGTGCCAAGTCTTCATTAATTTAAGGTTTCGCGTGCCAGTAATACATTTTACATTTACAGGGGCCGGCAGACGGAACCCCAGACCGGCAGCAGGGGTTCCGTTCATCCAGGCAGGCAGCGGCAGCCGGGACCCCGGCTGGCAGCAGAGTGCCACTAAAAATCAGGTTGCCGACCCCTGGTATATTGCATAACACACACACACACCTGGTTTGGCTCTTTCAATAGTAATTGTTACTCATTGTTTCTGTAATTGCTATCATAGGGCTATATTCAATGTCCTTAAGTTCCATAAACTTGTTGGCCATTGGTGCAGGTCTTTCAAGGGTGTTAAAATATTTAAAATTCATCTGATGTGGAATGTGCTCTAGTGGATAAAGTTACTGGAGTGGGAGCCAGGAGACCTGAGATCTATTCCTAGCATGGTTATTGACCTACTGTGTGACCCTGGGCAAATCACTTCACCTCTCGATACTTCTGTTTCCCTTCCTGTGCATTTTTCTTGTCTATTTTGGTTATATTGTTTGACTATACTTGCGGTTCGTTATTTAAAATGTTCCAGACTAAATAACTGAACTTAGCCAAATTTATTGTCTAGAGACAAAGCAGTACAATACAAAAAGGAGACATGTGTACCCTCCTTCCAGAAGCAGATTTTTGCAGCATATTCACCTTACACAGAAGGTGTGCTTCAAAGATAGCATTTCAGATAGTAGTATTTATAGTATGACTTGACAAGTTACAAAACTTCACACATCACTTAAACTCTAAGTTTAACCTATTAGTTTGTGCTAGCTTTGTCCTTGGTTCCTCTTACAATTGCCCTTATTTTGTTTTGAATACTACATTCCAAGTGTTAAGTTTAGGCCTTAATATAGGTTGTCAATTTCAATTTTATTTTAAATAGGTCTATTTTTTTTAAAATGAACTTGTATTTAATTTAAATAAAGTTGGAATTTTAATTTTTTAAATTTATTTTTATCCACACCGCTGTACCTACTTCCTAACTGAACTTGGTACAAAGTATTTATGCATTTTTGCTTTGACAGATTTCCTATTTTTCTAATGCCAAAGCTGACTTCAGCTTTGCAAAGTGTTGTGGGGTGCTTGACATGGGTCAACAGAATTGTGGGAAGAGCAGACTACATTCAGCTAACATAATTTCCCAACACCAATACATATCATACATATTATATTAATACCATGCACATAATATCTATTAATGTGATGTATACTATGCCCAACATATATGTATTGGATAACCGTTATAAGCTCTTTGGGACAGTGGTGGCCTCATACTATGTGTTTTGTACAGCATCTTTCGCAGTTTGGCTTTGATCTCAGTTGGGGTCTCTAGGTGCTACTGCAATAGAGAAAATTAATAATAAAATCAAATTGATGAACTTTCACGTCTTGTTTTTGAGAGAATATAGGGATGAGATGCCTACAGACAATGCACCCTTACCTTGTTGGTGGGCAAAATGAAAATCTTATCCTCCAGTGAGTTATAGATATTTTTTTAAAATATTACTGGTTAAATTAAAAAGTGCAAACCACTATCGTATTAAACGTTTGGGGGGGATGTATTATAGAAATTTGTACCTCCAGTTTTCCTGTTCATGTTCATGTCCAGTCCAGTTAGGTAGGGACAGAAAGTTACTGTCTGACTCAGCCTACTTGGAAATAAGGTGGTAGTCTTGTTCCATTTCCTGGTGAACAAATATCCATGATACACAAATGACCACAACAGTTGGCTTTAATTGGGTCCTTTGGTAGTCTAAGGCTATGTCTACACTACTGTGGTAAGTCTACCTAAGTTACACTACTGTAGCTGGAGTCAATGTAGCTTAGGTTGACTTACTGCGGTGTCTACACCGCGCTGAGTCGACTTACCTTAGTCCTCTTGTTCTCTTGGGTACCGGAGTCTACTGGAGAGTGCTCTGCAGTAGATTTCAATCTCCAGGGCTTTTAACTAGCAGTTTTCGGAAGCATGAATTTCACTTGGCTTTTCTTTTATTTCAGTGTACAAAGTTGTGCAGACTTTTATTGTTCAGTTAAGCCTAGTAAAAGGGTTCAGCAATGTGGATAAAAATCTATTTAAAAAATTAAAATTCAATTTTTTATTTAAATTAAATATAGGTTGGTTTGTTGTTTTTTTTAAATAGATCCATTTAAAATTAAATTGAAATTGACAACCTATATTAAGGCCTAACTTCTTATAATCTATTAATTATTTAGATTGAAATACAAAAAACAATATAAAGCAGTACATGTTTGCTGCTAAGTTTTAAAGAAATTGAAACTACTGAACTGGTGGAAGTTACTTGCTAAGTGTCTGGAACCAGAGTTTGTTCAAGTGCTAACCAGTTTTTGACAGCAGTAACCTTGTCTGCAGGTGAAAAGAGAATATTTTCTTCATTTTGGTTTATTCAACTAGTTCAGTTTGATGGTTCATTCAAAGTTAAGAAACCAGTTGGGAGTTGAAAAAGCAGGAAAGCTTGGATTGTTTTTTGTTTGTTTTGTTTTTCTCTTCAAAGGTATGAATAAAAACTTGCTGTGAGAGGTTGAAATCTACTAGTTCTAAAATCTTGAAGGATGTAGTGATCAGAAACAATCAGCTCAATTAATTAAATACAACAGATACTTACTTTTGTTTAATAAATCAGTTTTAAATGCAAAACATGTTTTGATAACTTTTTAAAATGTATCCACCCTGGTGTACAGAATGCTCACAAATATAGATTGTGGCAACTTATATCCTAGTGGTGAGAATGTAGCTTCCTTATGTGGTTCAGGTTTATTAAAATCTCCAAAAATATTTTAAAATGTTTTTTAACAATGTTTACTCTAGCGTTTTTTTTAACTTAGCCTTTTGTCTAGTTAATGAAAATATAAAATTGCAATGGCTTTTGGAACTAATTTTATAAATTGTGATGTAAGAATCTCTCTGACTTCAGAATGTCAGTTTCTAGAGTAACAGTTTGGATTGTATTACAGAGATAGCACGTCAGAATGACTGGGATGGGATCATTGCTTGCCATCAAGGTTATATAACTTGTACAACCTGGAACTACCAGAAAACTTCCATGGGAGCCCATAAACTGAAACCAAAAGCATTCAGCAAAAACAAGCCTCTTGATGTATATGCAACAGTAAGTTTGGTTTTGGGGTAATCTTATTTCTTCAATATTGTGGCATGGCTGCTAATTTGCTATCCAGTTGCACAGAAACTGAATACTTAAAACCAAGAAGTATTTGGTAAAGATCTAAATAAGCCTTGCAAAATTCTACTTATCAGCTACATTGGGGTTAATAATTTTTTATAAGTGAGTAAAATAATAAAGTAAATGCTGACTATTTCAATCTTATTGATCTTGAAACTCCAAGTTATCTAAAATTGTCTCCTGAATTAGAAATACATGGGGGAGGAAAACAAATTTTAGTTTTATGAGCTCCAATTATTTGAAGATTTGTAGTTTCTCCATAGACATTTAAATAGTCAAGGTGTACCTTTGTTCCTCTCACTTTCATCTTTGTTTATGGTGGGAGAGAAGATTTTGTTCCCGGGCTGGTAAACTGTCGTGACAGTTTTGTATGGGTATGTTAAGCAATATTTTCTCAAGATTAACACCTTTGAAAATGATAGGTACAGTAACTCTTCGCTTAACGTTGTAGTTATGTTCCTGAAAAATGCGACTTTAAGCAAAACAATGTTAAGCGAATCCAATTTCCCCATAAGAATTAATGTAAATGGGGGCGGGGTTAGGTTCCAGGGAAATTTTTTTCACCAGACAAAAAACTATATATTCTATAGATATACACACAGTATACGTTTTAAATAAACAATTTAATACTGTTCACAGCTATGATGATTGTGAAGCTTGGTTGAGGTGGTGAAGTTAGAGGGTAGAAGAGGGAGGGATATTTCCCAGGGAATGCCTTGCTGCTAAATGATGAATTAGCACTCGGCTGAGCCCTCAAGGGTTAACACGTTGTTGTTGTAACCTCTCACACAAGGCAGCAGGAACACGAGGGAGGGGAGACAGCATAGCAGACAGAGACAGACCCACACCTTGTGTGTGGGGGAGAGAGAGAGGGAGATGCACACTGCCCCTTTAAGTAAGCTGACCCACTCTTAAGTGCATTGTCTTTTTAAGTGGATCAGGAAGTTGAGACAACAGATGCTGCCCCAAGCTCTCTGTCTCTCTCCACCCGTGTCGCTTCCCTGCTCTATATGGAGAAGGGGTAAGTGGGGTGCAGGATCAGGGAGGAGGGGGACACCCTGACATTAGCCCTCTCCCCCTTCTACCTCCGCACAGCAAGCAGGAGTCTCTGGGAGCAGCTCCAAGGCAAAGGGCAGGAGCAGCACATGGCAGTGGGGGAAGGGGCAGCTGAACTGCTAATTGATAGCCTGCTGGGCGGCTGCAGCACAGGGAATTTAGGGGAACGGGGAGCTGATAGAGGGGTCCACCCTGGTTCCAAGCCCCCACCAGCTAGCTGCAACAGGCTGCTCTTCCTGCAAGCAGTGGACAAAGCAGGCGGCTGCTAAACGACATTAGAAGGGAGCACTGCAAAACTTTAAACAAGCATGTTCCCTAATTGATCAGCAGCGTAACAACATTAACCGGGACGACTTTAAGTGAGGAGATACTGTATGTTTCTAAGTTGCATGCAAAAAAAGTACATTGAAAGAATGTTAAGGGCGCAGAGTCAAGCACTCAAAAGTTGGGAAATGCCAGATTTAGGATTGCACATGTAATCTTAATTCTGCCTCCTTGATATCCAACCTGTGCATTGAATAAGTACATGTACTAAGTCTGGTTGGAGGGAGCCCTTCTCGATGCTCTGTAGTCTGAGCCTATCGGAGTTGGGGAAGCTTCTGCCCCATGTGGTGCCCCCAGAGGAGGAAAAGTGAGGCTGGTGTTGTGTGCCTGGTCCAGAGAAAAGTGTGGTTGGAGAGTAGAAGTGGGCCCCACTCCTTACTCCTCTTGCCTCCACTACTTTGGCAGCTCCCAGATGTTCCAGTATGGGTGGGTGTTGGGGAGTGTAGCTGCTGCTTGGGTAGAAGCATAAACCCATCTTAGAAGCTTCACATTAAATGTTGGCATCCTGCCAAAATAATAATTTCCCGAGGAACCCAAGTGAGAGAAGGAAAATGGTGATTCTTTCTTAAAACAATTTATATTGTGGCTACGTCTGAGTGGAATTTCATGGGACAAAGAAAAGGCACTTCTCTAGTTAATGGCATTCTCCCTGCCGAATTTCAAAGGTCTGCTGCAAACTATGGAAGTGTAAGGGCTTCTCAAAGAAAAGGTCTTAATCCTTTATAATGGAAAAAGTTAGGCAACCTCAACAGGGATTGCTGGTACTCCTTCTATAATGACTTCCCTGAACTTCGTTCAGAATAAATTTTTTATTTTCTGTTTTGTTTTCTCTTATGCAATATCACTGATCTCTGCCCCTAGTTAATTCTTTTCCATTTGGTGACAGGAATTTGATGGTAGTTTGAGGTAAATGCATATAATAGTTCTATCAGCAAGAATAGCAACCAAAATACAGAGTGCTTAGTACAAATGAGTGTGAAATCTTTTCCAATTGAATAAGTAAATATATTGCTAAGCAGCTAGTTCAGGCTTCTTTAGACATGGATAATTTAGACAAGAGAATTCTTTGTATATATTGAAGGGGTAATCAGTGGTCCATCAGGAAATTTACAAGTTATCCCATTATAGGAGAATAACTAGCTGACTATGGAATTTGGTGGTGGTACAGTGGGTATAACTATTAGACTGGATTGTGGGTCTTGGATTGTGTCTGTTCACACACATGTATCCAGACCCCTCTTTGTGATGTCTCTTCCTTCTTAAGTTCTGGGTTGAAAGATCTAAAATGTAAACTCTCATCTCTTTTCTGCATGCATCATGGTTGATTGTTTTCAGATACTGTTACTCCATTTCTAGCACCAAAGTACGGTGGCAGCAGACTTTGAAGTTAACTTCCCTAACATGTCCTTTTGTGCAATGGAGGGCTAATCATATAGATTTTATTTTTTAGGTTACACTGATCATATCATATCAGGCATTAAGATGCATGTGACTAATGATAAATGTTGTTTACAATTAGGTGGCTATGAGAATGTCACTAATTTGTTTATTTGTGTACTCTCATCTTCATTGCTTAGTCTTTCTGCCATGTGCTCATTTTTATCATAACTTCTCTCAAGAAAGCAAATATAGCTTTCCTTTCTGTGTGGGAGAAGATAAACCATCATTTATGTTCTTAATGTTAAAACCACAAGAGAATTGTAATATAGAGATTTTGAAGATTTTCCTTTCTCAATATGAGGTGCTTTGTAACTGCTGTAGATAGACAAGCACATTTACAATTAAACATATTTTTTCTTTGCTAATGAGCTATGCGTTTTATGTTCCTTTCTCATTTTTTTTTCTCCCTTTAAAGGTAGTTGACATTACTACATGTGGAAACTTTGCTGTAATTGGGCTTTCAACAGGACATGTAGATGTATACAACATGCAGTCTGGCATTCACCGAGGACATTATGGAAAAGAAAAAGGTGAACTTTTTTTTTTTTTTAATTACACCCTAAGAGAATAGCTGCAAATTGAAAGACTTTTATTGTAGCTTCTGGGTGGAATGCAGGAATCTTGCTATTGAAGCAACAGGTGGCTGTGGTTACTCTACTCTACAGTTAACTTGTCTTTTATTCTCTCTGAGTGAAGGACAACAACACTCCCGCTACTGTGGATAGTTGTGGAGTTGGCATCTAGTTAATTTTAAGTAACATAAACTAATAGGCTACTATTAACATAGGCTAATATTCTGCTTTGTGTCAACAACGTGAAAAATTGTTCAGTTAAAACCTTTTGAATTGCCATCTTAATCTTGTTCTTAGCATATTTTTTTGTATATCTCATTATGTCACACTAATGCTTAGTTATCTGTACCTTAATCAATTAAACAGAATTGGCCTGTGCACACATGGAAAGCACTGGATAAGTATATAAACTTATAATATTCAAGTTATAGTTGTCAGGGGGCTTTACTATTGTTTGTCTGATACCTTCCTCTTGTTTAAATCTGTCTTTCGCTCTGAAGGAACCTAGATTCCCCAGTGATTGGCACTATGTAGGTATCTAAGATAGGTGTAAAGCCCTGAAATGTAATTTTATTTTTTTTCTTTTGGATTAAAGCACATGAAGGTGCCATTAGAGGGGTAGCAGTGGATGGATTAAACCAGTTGACAATCACAGGTGGAAGTGAAGGATTAATTAAATTCTGGAAGTTCAAGACCATGGACCTAGTTTACTCTGCAAATCTCTCTTCTTCTCCAAGTGCAATGCTGCTTCACAGAGACAGGTGAGAATCTAAAACTATTTCAGTTGCAGCTTTAATTGTTTTGTTGTAGTCTTAAAGACCATGACAAAAATGTCTTTCATTTCCTAACATTTTAAGCTAGAAATGACTGTTAGTCCTGCAAGGAGCTTTTTATATTGCAGAAGAAATGGAAACTTGTCTTGCTTAGGAAATTTCAGTAGAACATAAAATTTTGTCGGTTAATATTAGGATATGCTTGTCTGTTTTATCTCTGAATATTAATTGCCAATATATACTACTAATTCTTTCCAGTGGTATTCTGGGAATTGCCTCAGATGACTTTGGCATTAGCGTTTTGGATATAGAAACAAGAAGGATCGTCAGGAAGTTCTCCGGACACCACAGCCAGATTAATGACATGGTGAATGTATATACTGTACATATTTGTGTGCTCACGATCTGCAACAAAAGTTAATTCAATTTGAGGGTGATAGATTTGTTGTCTGTATATAACAGATAATAAAATATAAATGTGTGTTTAAGTTGGATCCCTTCTTGTTGTGTTCAGCTGCAGAAGCCAAAAAATTCAGGGTACCCCTTTGGAAACTGCAACCATACATGTGTATATGTCCTCTTAAGAATTAATGTAGCTTGCTGATTAAAATGCTCAATGTTCAAATAGTAAATATAGAAATTTTAGCTCACCCGTACAGACTTGTAATTTTATTGTAATTTTATTACCAAAGGACAGATAGACATTCATTTTTTAAACTAAAACCTTATTTTTTGTTCTTAATCAAATGAAAATTTAGAAGTAATATAACAGATATTTGAGGCCACACTGGTGTTATTGAGGGCAGCAACTGGGACGCTATCCATCTCTTCAAAGTCTCTATATTGGCACAAGCGATTCCCTACAAACCAGAAGTATAAACAGTAGTTTTAAGCATCTATTGTAACATAGCTATATTTGTTTATTATACAGCACATAAGAGTGACATGCTGATGTGCATTAGATATTTGTTTTCAAAATGCTGTCAGGATTTGTATTCAGTTACTAATTGATTCCAAATACCGAGAGATGAGTACATCTCTGATGTTGACGTCTTATGTTTTTATATTTTTTTCTTTTACATTTTGTGGTGAATATCTGTCTGTGTGCACAAAAGTGAGGGCCCACAAACATAATATGGGTCACTGCACTTATACGGTATCCTGCTACACCCTTGCTTTTCTAGCCTTAGGTCTCCTGTGATCAGAGACTATCAGTTTTGTTGTGTGGACAAATGTCTGCCTAGGACTGGGATGAAACTATCAATGCAATCTTCTCTTATGAACTAAAGCAGGACGTGTATGCTCTAAAATACTTATTTAGATATATTATTATTATTATTATTATTATTATTATAGACTTTCAGTCCCGATGGCCGTTGGCTAATAACTGCATCAATGGATTGCACCATTAAGACTTGGGACCTCCCATCTGGATGGTAAGTCAATTTAAGTACTGTAGAAGAGCGCTCTTACTTGCATATGAATTCCATGCATTAAACCACAAAAAAGACTTGATGCATTGACGATTTCCCATAAACCTACACTAATTAAAAAAGTTTATATTCGTTGAACATTAGTATTTGAAACTGACTTGTTTTGTCTGGCATTAGTAATTTTTATAGCCATTTTATGAAGCTCTTGTAAATGGAAATGTATAGTAGAAAATTACAGTATAGGCAGTGTTTGAAGCCTGACATTGAAATTGTGAACAATAGGACTTCTTGGTTTTTTACTTTCAAGCACATGTACAACTGAAAAGGTTAAAAGGTCAGTTTTACTTTGATAATAAAACCACATAACCTTATGTTCTGCTTTCCTGAATGGTGCTTCATGTCAATGCAAAACACTTTGTAAATTCAAAAGCATAAATGACTGTCTGTTATCATTTCTGTAGTATCAAACACTAGGTTAAGATCGCAAATCAACTTTAATTTTCCATTTCTACTTGCTTATAAACTTCCCGAAAATTTCTCCTCTGCTCAAAAATGAATATTCTGCCCTGGATGTTCAGTTTTGGTTGAGAAGTACACAGTATAATTCAGGAGGTGGGAAAGATGTGCACAAAGGTGACTTCAGACCCCCTTTGTGCTTTCCTGATTTGGGCTGATACCTCAGGGCATGTCTACACAGCAAAGAAAAACCCATGGCTGGCCTGACTCGGGCTCACAGGGCTCAGACTATGGGGCTGTTTCATTACTGTGTAGACTCCTGGGCTTGGGCTGCAGCCCAAGCTCTGGAACCCTCTCATCCCGCTTACAGCCTGAGTCCAAAGTGTAATGAAACAGCCCCATGTCCCAAGCCCCTTGAGCCCAAGTCGGACCAGTCACAGGTTTTTCTTTGCTGTGTAGACATACCTTTAGTGGAGCTGGGTCCCAATTGCTCGAAGGTTTACATTGTTCTGTTGCTATGACAGTATTAACTGAAAATTATTTACCTTATGAAGGCTTTCATTTAAAGTACATGATGTGAGTTGTATCACAGAAAGATTGGTCAATAGATTGTTGAAAGTCATGCCTCAAGATAGAGACCAAAAGATTAATGGATGAATTAAATTTAGAACTTCTTCTCTCCTCAAAACTGTTATAGATTCTTAATGTTGATTTCATTTCTTATTAAAGAAATGACTTGGAAAAGCATATGATAAAGTTTAAAGGCAATCTAAGACCGTCACTGCACTTGCCTTGAGTGTTTAGCTTGTTTAACATTTGCATCTGTCACTGTAGTACATAGATGCTATTGTATTTTATAATATATATTGGAGATAGGAAGACAACAAAATAACTCTAGCAAAATTCTTGTTGATATGGAATCGACATGACATATTCTGTCTGAAAAAAATTAGGGTAATTTATCTTGCTTGGAATTTAGAGAGATGGTTTTGCTCTTGCTTAGGCAGAGGAAAATACTGAAATAGAGCAATGATGCTCATTAAAAATTCAGCTGCAGGTCTTACTTTCCCTTAGTATGATTAGGAATATGAGCTATTTTAGACATACAAAAACAATTGCTAACTTTGAAGCTCTACTTAAGAAAAATCATAGATTTTATTTGATTCAAAAACATCAATCTTTTACAAGGTATGATACATCTGTTTTTAGTGTGCACTCTATCCACTCATTGAGCACGTGGTGTATAAATTCTGTTGAAATCTGAATGATGTTTAAATGGTCTCCTTAAATTTCACAGAAATAGATGATCCATCTGTGCTTGATTGTATGTAATTTAATTAATGTAACTGTATGCAAATTTCTCTTCTTACTCAGTGTAGCTTGGACAGGCAAATTAACAGGAGTACTTGTGGCACCTTAGAGACTAACAAATTGATTTGAGCATAGGCTTTCGTGGGCTACAGCCCACTTCATCGGATGCATAGAATGGAACATATAACAAGAGTGTATATCTATACATACAGAGAAGATGCCATATCAGCGCTAAGAGGCTAATTAATTAAGGTGACCTATTATCAGCAGGAAAAAAACTTTTGTAGTGATTATCAAGATGGTCAATTATAGACAGTTGACAAGAGATGTAAGGATAGTTATCATAAGGAAATAGATTCAAGTAGTGTAATTACTCAGCCATTCCCAGTCTCTGTTCAAGCCAGAGTTAATGGTATCTAATTTGCAAATCAGTTCAAGCTCAGCAGTTTCTCATTGGAGTCTGTTTTTGAAGTCTTTCTGTTGCAAAATTGCTTATGCTCAAATAAATCTTGTTGGTCTCCAAGGTGCCACAAGTACTCCTGTTCTTTTTACGGATACAGACTAACACGGCTGCTACTGTGAAACCAGACAAATTAACGTTAATTTACATGCCCTGTACTCATAATCTGGGTTATCTTTTTAACTCTGTCTCTAGCCTTGAATTTTTTCCTGGTGATCTCAGTATGCACTAACACATCCTTCTGCCCCTCCCAGCCTAACTCATCAGACTTACGTTTCCTTTTTGAGTGCTTATGGATTCTCTCCTTGCAAGAGACAGTGGTTTTATACAGGCATCTGTGGGGCTTCTTTTGTTCACCCCCCATATCCACTGCTATGCTTCTGCTCTTGTGCTGCTGAGCAGCTCTGTTGGAAATCCCGTGACCTGGCTGACTTCCTGCATTACAGATTTTTTCTCTCCTCCTTCAGTTCTGCCATCTTCCTTGCTAAACAACTCTACTACCATAATTTAATTAAATCTCACACCCACAATCCCAGATGCCTTTTTGTTACCTTTGGCTCACTGCTCAAACCCTCTGCTCCCCATATGCCCACCTCTCTCTCCACCCAGGATCTCTGATTTCTTCCAAGGGAAATTTTGACTAAATACAACACGAGGTGACTTCCCCTTCCTACAACTCCTCTCATCTTTCTCCGCTGTCACAGATGGAGAAGTTTCCCTTCACTCGCTCCAGTGGCCCCATCACATCTCCTGATCTCCCTCGTACCCACTCTTGTCCCTTCCCTTTTGGCTCTTCCCTTCACAATACAAACATGTTCTAGACTCTCAGAAATGTAGGACTGTAAGGGACTTTAATAAGTCACCTAGCTCAGTCTTCTGCACTCAAGGCAGGACTAAGTAATAACCGTTCTTGACAGGTGTTTGTCTAACCCAGTGCTCTCAACCTTTCCAGACTACTGTACCCCTTTCAGGAGTGTGATTTTTGTCTTGCGTACCCCAAGTTTCACCTCACTTAACTACTTGCTTACAGAATCAGACATAAAAATACAGAAGTGTCACAGCACACTATTACTGAAAAATTGCTGACTTTCTCATTTTTACCATATAATTATAAAATAAATCAATTGGAATATAAATATTGTATGTACATTTCAGTGTATAGTATATAGATTAATATAAAGTCATTGTCTGTATGAAATTTTAGTTTGTACTGACTTCGCTAGTGCTTTTTATGTAGCCTGTTGTAAAACTAGGCAAATATCTAAATGAGTTGATGTATACCCTGGAAGACTTCTGCATATCCCCAGGGGTATGCATACCTCTAGTTGAGAACCACTGGTCTAACATATTCTTAAAAACCTCCAATGACAGAGATTCCACAATCTCCCTAGGCAAATTTTTTTTATGGTTACCTATCCCGTCAGGAAGTTTTTTCTTAATGTCCAACTTAAACCTCCCTTGCAATTTAAGCCTATTGCTTTTTTTCCTGTCCTCGGACATTAAGGAGAACAATTTTTCACCCTCCTCCTTTGTAACAACCTTTTATGCACTTGAAAACTATTATACTGTCCCCTCACAGTCTTCCCTTTTCCAGACTAAACAAACCCATTTTTTTCAATCTAGACATTTGATCACTCTTTTTGCTCTCTTCTGGACTTTTCTCTAATTTGTCCACATCTTTCCTGAAATGTGGCACCCAGAACTGGGCACAATACTCTAATTTAGGCCTTATCAGTGCAGAGTAGAGTGGAAGAATGACTTCTCATGTCTTGCTTACAACATTCCTGCTAATACATCCCAGAATGATGTTCGCTTTTTTTCCAACAGTGTTATACTGTTGATCATATTTAGCATATGATTCACTATAACCCCCCGACCCCCTTCCGCAGTATTCCTACCTAGGTAATCATTTCCTATTTTGTATGTGTGCAATTGATTGTTCTTTCCTAAGTGGAGTACTTTGCATTTGTCCATATTGAATTTCATCCTATTTACTTCAGACCATTTCTCCAGTTTGTCCAGATCATTTTGAATTTTAATCTTATCCTACAAAGCACTTGAACCATCTCCCAGTGTAGTATCATTCACAAATTTTAAGTGTATACTCTATGCCATTATCTAAATCATTTCTGAAGATATTGAACAGAACCAGTCCCAGGACCAATCCCTGCCGGGTTTCACTCGATATGCCCTTCCAGCTTGACTGTGAGCCCTGATAACTACTCTGTGGGAACAGTTTTCCAGCCAGTTATGTACCCACCTTTATAATAACTCCATCTATGGGGAGGGATAGCTCAGTGGTTTGAGCATTGGCCTGCTAAACCCAGGGTTGTGAGTTCAATCCTTGAGGGGGTCACTTAGGGATCGGGGGCAAAATCAGTACTTGGTCCTGCTAGTGAAGGCAGGGGGCTGGACTCGATGACCTTTCAAGGTCCCTTTCAGTTCTATGAGATAGGTAGGTATTTCCCTAGTTTATGAGAGGGTCATGTGAGACCATACCAAAAGCCTTAATAAAGTCAAGATACACCACATCTACTGCTTCCCCCAGATTCACAAGCCTCATTACCTTGTCAAAGGAATGGTTTTGTTCTTGACAAATCCATATTGACTGTTACTTGTCACCATAGCATCTTCTAGGTGTCTACAAATTGACTGCTTGATTATTTGCTGCATTATCTTTCTCGGTATTGAAGTTAAGATGACTGGTTTTGTAATTCCTCGGATTGTCCTTATTGCCCTTTTTATACATTTGCACTATATTTGCATTCTGCCAGTCCTCTGGAATCTCTCCCACCTTCATCTCGCTCTTCTCCCCCCTCGCCCCCCCCGATTCTGATCATCTGTAGCTCCCACTGATATCGTGCTCCAGTTGTGACCTTCTACACTTCCGAAAATCTGACCCTAGGTGACTCAAGTTGGGCTTTCAGAACATAGAGAAACACAGTGGCCACCTGTGAAAACTTTGGTTTAAGTGACTTGCATAGCATCACAGAGGACATGTGTTGCAGAGCCAGGGAAGGAACCTTGTTCTCCAAGTGTCATTAAGCTGCCTTAACCAAAATCATCCTTTCTCTTCCTGCAGACCCATTTCATTCACTTCACATCTTCCAATTACTGCAGTAAATGAACCAGGAATCCTATAGTAAATGGATTTGTTCACTACAACACTGATTCATTTACTAAGCACTGTCTCTCCTACACTATATAGAGTAAAGAGTTTTTTTTATTTCAAAGTGTCTTTGCATATGAAGAAATGCTCATTAAAATAATAACTTCAAATTCCTTGCTTAGCAGGGAGTTTCTTGCCATACTGTGCAGATTTTGAATTTCAGGAGAGGTTGTGGGAAGTGGTGTATACACTGTTAGGGCCTGATCATGTGTAACTTATGTAGGATCAAAAATATTAGTCTTGGGAGACAAGTGCTGGTGTGACCAATTAAAACTGTATAATGAGTTTATTATAGGGTGATAGGCTGTTAAATTAAACTGATATTGCCTATTTATTTTCTTCTTCATTATTGTCAAAATAACAGTTGTAGTTGAGGTTTTTAGAAAATACAAAATCCAATGTTTTTTTTAATCTATTACAAAAAACCCAAAACATTGAATTTTCCTCTCCAAGTTATGATGGGAGAAAAATGAGAGAATACAAGTACAATTGAGGATGCTATGCTGATTTTAATGTTTAGTTGGGAGACACTAACAAACAGTGCTTTTGTGCCGTGTAAGGTGACACAAGCTAGCAATCAGTGGCAGTCCATTGGTGGGAGCATGGGGAGGTGAAAACAAGATGGGAGCCTAAAAACACAGTGTGTCTATATAGATCTAACTGAAAATATAAAATGTACTTTCTTGCCCCTAAAAACCAATTTAGTAGTAAATCTGTGGAATTGGCTGTGGAGAAATGGTTTCTTGACTTTCACAAAATATGTAAAACTGTGTGTAGGGGGCACTTAAAACTTTATTATACTGCCTCAGAGGTGACTTAAAGTAATAAAGATTAGTAAGTGGTTTTAGTGTCATCCACCTGCTAAAATACACATAGTTTATTGGATTATTTGAAAAAATCTAGTTTGTATGTATGCTTCCATAATCTAAGTGCAAATGTGAAAGTTAAGAAAATGAATTCATTGCCCGGTATATAATCCTTTTTGTTTGTTTGTTTGTTTGTTTGTTTGTTTTTCATAGCCTCATAGATTGTTTTTTGTTAGACTCAGCAGCTATCAGCATTTCTATGTCTCCTACTGGAGACTTTCTAGCTTCATCACATGTAGATGATCTTGGAATTTATCTATGGTGAGTACATAATACATTTTAACAAATATTCAGAAATCTACCTATTTGGGCATAGAATTATGGAAATTGGAGCTGGGAAAAGGCCTATTAAATCACCCTATCCTTCTACTGCAAATTAAGAATTGTTCCTTTCAGTATATTCTCCATTGTTTTGTCTTTTCCAGTTCAAAACTCTCAAAAGGCTTCTGTTCTTAGGGGGACAGTTCTACCATTAAATATCTCATGATCTAGACACTTTCCTAACAATCAGCTGATATTTTCCTTTTTAAAAATTTCTCCTCACTGCAGCTTAGTCTCAGGAGGAGAAAGAGGAGCAGAAAGCCCAGCAGCTCAGGATGGTTCCACTCCCTCCTTCCCTGTCCTCTCCAATGGAAGGCGCCTTTGCTTCTTCCTTCCTTCCTCCTTCCTTCCTTGCAACACCCCGGAAAGGGGGATAGGGGGTGTCACGGAGTCCCTGGGTGATGCTCTGGAGCTGCTCCGCACAAAGCCAGTCAGGACTTTGGGGAGCCTCCTCTCCCATGGAGCAGACTGTCTTCAGGACAAGAAGCTCACACGGCTTCACCTCCTGGGTCTCTCCTGGGAGCATTCAGCATATGCCCCTCCGTGCGCTTCCCACAGCGAGTCCGCCCAGGCGGGGTCCTGGGGAAGCCAGAGGTCCTGCACACACCCCCACTTCACAGTCAGACGTGACTCTCAGCCAGCCAGTAAAACAGAGGTTTATTAGATGACAGGAACATGGTCTAAAACAGAGCTTGTCGGTCCAGCGAACGGCACCCCTCTGCCGGGTCCATTCTGGGGTCCCGCGAGTGTAGGGTGACCAGATGTCCCGATTTTATAGGAACAGTCCTGATTTTTGGGTCTTTTTCTTCTATAGGCTCCTATTACCCCCTCCCACCCCCGTCCCGATTTTTTACACTGGCTGTCTGGTCACCCCACGCGAGCGAGACACCCCCGTCTGCCCTCACTCCTAGTCCCCAGCCAGCTCCAAACTGAAAACCCCCTCCAGCCCCTCCTCCTCTGGGCTTTGTCTCTTTCCCGGGCCAGGAGGTCACCTGATCTCTTTGTTCACCTTTAGCTATTTTCTTGCAGGGGGGAAGGGCCCTGTCCATTTGTTGCTAGGAGATAGAGTGTCAGTGATTTATGCACACTGGCCTTTATTCCACCTCCTAGAGACTTAAGAAATGCATAGGGGAAACTGAGGCACCCACACAGTATTCAGAGGAAACATTAAGAACAGTCCCACTTCGTCACAGGGGGCCCTGCTGCAACCCGTCCCCCACCAAGCCTGGGAGGAGGAGGGTGTGGAAATGCAGGAGCTATAGGAGGACTAGACGAGAGGGGCTGAAGAGGGCAGAACAGATGTGAGAGCAGAATTGATGGGCGATCTGGGGTTGACAGGATTGCCTGGGGACAAGACTTGATGAAGGGACTGGGGAGACATGATTGATTGGGTGGTTTGGAGCAATAGGAACTGCTGGGCAGATATAGGGGTGGTGATAGACTTCCTCCCTGTTTTAGGTGACTTTAAAAACAGCCAGTACAACAGTACTGGCAAACTCTCCTAGTGCAGATTCAGTATATACCGGCAAAAAGGTCCTTTTGATATTATAGCTTATACCATTTCCTGGAGTGAACTAAGCTAAACCATTCAAATGGACTTAATTTTCCAGGTGTAGCTGTGTCTCCACTAGGGCTTTTGCCAGTATAGCTAGGTTAGCAAAAAATTATATTTTAATCATCATGACTATGCCAGTAAAACATTTTAAGTATAGATTAGGCCTTATTTGTCACAAGCTTCCCTCACACACATTTCTGCTGATCATAGAAATTGGAGGAATAATTGCTATTTGATGATGATCATCATAATAATTAATCATAATATGGGAAATCCTTGTACAAGGAGTGTAAATGTAAAGAACTTTACAAACATTAAGCCTAAAAACAGTCTCTTCACGTGGGTGAGTCTAACTTTTAGAGATAAACTGCAAAGATTAAGTGAAATGACACAGTAAATCAGAGCCAGAAATCCCAGCTCTTGTCCTCTGCTCAACATAATAAACACACATTCTAGAGAACGAGAAATTTAAAATGTGCTGCAATTTACATGGTAGTAGAAATAATGCCATTTGTAATAATGGCTTGTTATTCTTGAAATGTGCTTTTGCAGCATGATTGTTAAAAGCATGGAAGTTATTTTTCACTTGTACCAATGTTTTACAGAAGACTTTTTCCAAGTTTTGAACTTTGTGTTAGTTTTTGTAGAGATGAGTGAATCTAACTTTGAGAAAGAAAGTCAGTGATTTGTCATATCGTAGTAGTATCAGAAATTTAAAAAACACTGTTTAAAATAATTGTCCACATGTTTGTCTGAAAAAAATTCGAATGTTTTTAATATGTCATCTGTCTCAATTATTCAGGTCTAACCGTTCCTTGTATTCGCTTGTCTCTTTACGGCCACTTCCAGCAGATTATGAGCCTTCTGTAATAATGCTTCCTGGAACTTGCCCTGCACAAGGTAATCATGGGATGAAAGAGGCTTATTCCTTGTTGTGTAATGAACCTCAAATAGCAGACGTTTAATTTTCTCAGTGTACAATTCAGTGTTTTCGACCACGAAGAAATTCATGTAACAGGAAAAATTTGCTTATAATTAAAATAAGGACTCTTTTCTACTATCTCTGGGGAAATTACTGTTTTAAAATGTAGCACACTAACCTTAGTCACTAAAATTAGTTCCTGCTTCTGGATCACATGACTTGCTCAGTCACACGGGGAGACTGAGGCAGACATAGGGACAGAACCCAGATCTCCTTAGAGTGCATTAATGATAAGACTATTTTTCCTTTCATGTATGTAATTCTATGCATATTTGTCTATGAGCAATTCTATAAATATTGTACACACTTCAGTAGATGAATAGAGTCTAAAGATTATCAGCAGAGTCCCATAATTAGTAAACATTTCTCTTCCCCTTCTCTCGGTTGCCCCGTCTGCTTCTCCACACACACAGACCATAAATTAGTTTGCTGCCATAATATATATTTGGATTATCAACAGCTACTCTGAAAGGCACATGTAACTGTGCTAGCCAATCACTTTTGTTATTTTAGTATATTACACAGGCAGTAACATCAGATATTTGAGTACAAAATATTTAAAATGATCTCCATAACTCAAATATATTTTCATGTAAACGTCCTACATCAGTGCTGATACAACTTGTTTTGGTTTACATGTGTTTATAAATGAAATTTGTCTCTGAAAGATGTGGACATCACAGGAGATGAAGAAACAAGCGATGAAATGATAGACTATAATTCACCAGAGCAATTGGAAGAGCAGCTAGTGACCTTGTCGTCACTGTCTGAATCAAGATGGAAAAACCTCCTCAATCTTGATGTTATCAAGGTAATATTACATGCACACCTCATACTGAAAAAGCTTTGATTATTGTGGCTTCTGGGCCAGATCTTGTGGTCCTGACCCATCTACTTTGGATAGTTCTGGTAGCACAAGACAGACAGCTGACTTAACCAGTTGCCTTAGGACTCCTCTGGAGTGGAGGGACTCCTTGGGGGGTGTAGGAATTGCATAATGACTCTTGCATCACCACCTCAGCCACTATGGCCACTACACTGGCCTGTCTGAGGGCACTTTCCAGTCAGACCAGCTTAAACACCCCTATGAATCTGCTCTATGTTGTGTCACCAGACCTGTGTCTGGAAGGGAGGGGAATGAAAAGTGGCATAAAGACAGCTTTACATGCCCTGCATTAGTTGCATCAGGCATAGAAGAGCTTGTCCAAAAGACCCTCCCTCTGTCTTCAATATTACTTTAGGATTTTTCATTCAGAAAATCTGTAATGCATTTCATAATGCCTGGGACAGTTTTGTAGATGTACTCTCTTAAGAGTCTTCCTAACGTTAATCAATAAAATATTTCCCAAATATCGAAGTGTTTTGTTTTTCTAAACAGTCCTGATTATCTTCCCAATAAGGATTTCTTTTTTAAATCTATAAAATCAAAAACTTTTATGATAAACCTGATGATTTTAATTCAAATGTTTAAACAGAAAAAGAATAAACCAAGAGAGCCACCGAAAGTTCCCAAATCAGCTCCATTCTTCATCCCAACAGTTCCTGGCCTCATACCGCGATATGCTGCTGCTAAGCAAGAAAATGATGGACAGCAGGTAAAGATAAAACTGAATAGAGTTTTGAATATTTTGTATGTTTTTCCCTGCATATCCCAGGCATAATTTTATTCACAGGGCTTTTAAAGTTTGTCAAAACAGTTTTTCAGCGCCAACTGTTTATATAAAATGAATTTATATCCAGATTCTTCAAATGCTTTGTCCTATCCATGAAAAATATCTTCGTAGGATGTGAAAGTATACATTGTATATTGGTATATGCTCCAAGTGATGTGTGTGACCTTTTTTGTTTTGTTTAGTCAAAGGTAGTAAACCTTGGAGTATTGGCACAAAAATCTGATTTCTACGTTCAACTTGAAGAAGCCTTGAGCAGTAATGAGTGTAAGTCAATGTGTGAAATATCATTCAAGTGTAACAAACTATTAATATTGGGATGAATGTTTGAGTTCTGATGAAGAATTAGTACGTCATGGAAAAGAGGTCTAGCATATATTTGCAAAGACAGCAGCACTAGGCAAACCGTGTTAACAGTTAAAAAATAAATAAAATATAACCACTACATGAGAGAATGAGATTGACTTAAAGATAATATGCTGCGATACCTGGAAACTTACGATGATCTAACACTGGTCTGCAAGGCAGGCAGTAGATGCTTAATATAATGTCTGCACGTCTAATGCTGGTGATTCTTTAGAACTATCTAAGCAATACCTTTTTATTAACTTTTATTGTGAATGGCCTGCTCACCATATTTCAGACAATTTAAGGCTTGTGATCTCTTCTTGATAATTTAAACATAAGGCTTAAACAGAAATAATTGGTTATAAAAAATAATTCTTTGGATAACTTAACACTTGGTGCATTTTGAAATTGAAATGCTTTGAAACACCTGTAGAGATTCATATACTTGGTGGATTCATTTGTTTGTTTAAATGGTGCCTCTGCAGAGCCACTTTAAAATAGGATTTTAGAAGCAACTGTTGATTAAAAAGAGCAGAGCTGGAACGTCAGTAGATTGTCATTGGAGACTTGTTTGCCAGCCAGCTTTGCTAAGATTTCTTCTGCTGCTGCTTAGACCCTTCAAATAAGGTTTCTGAAGTGAGCCAGCTTATTCTGACGTTCTCCTTCATTTGAGTGTGAATCTCAGATTTAACACTGGGTATAAATGAAATTTGCAGACAACATAGACTGGCAATTTAAAGTAAAGCAGTCCCTGATAGGGTTGCAGAGTGGTTTCCATTGTAACAATTTCTCCTGTTTTTACATGCTCTCAACTTTCACATTTTGGGTTATTTTTCACGCTTTGTTTGTCCTAAGCTAAGTTTGAGTGAAAAATTTTCAGTAGTTTGAATTATGGGAGAGTAAAACGAAAGAAGTCCTTTCCATTTTTTTAAAACAAACTATGCACCCTTTAGGACCAAGTTCAGCAAAAAGAACTTAACATCAAGTTCTGGAGTAAATCACAAGCATGAAGAAAATGTCACGTTTTTGTCTGTGCCATTTTGCTGCATTCTAAAATAGTCTGCAAACTTGATTTTCACTTAACACATGTTTGTATTTTTCTGTTGCAATGATAAAGCTGTCAGTATGAAAACAGGTGCTGCTGTCCTGTCAGCCAGTTTCTACAGAAAACTGTCTCCAGCCGAGTACTGAGCTTCATCCTCCAGGCACTTTGCTTGTGGAATTTCCATAGATTTCAAATGGAATTCTGTGTATGGAGTGACTAAGGAATCAGGCCCAGTGCAACTGGGTGGTGGGGATGGGAGTGGTTTGGAGAGGGCTATTTCCTCACACCCCTCTACCAAGGTCATTATCGCCCAGCCTGGTTATGTCTTACTGCTTTAAGAAAATTGAGAATTCTAGTTTAAAGGAACTATCAGAATTAGTAGTCTCAAGATTTATCCATCTTTTTTCCTTCCTCTGGTGTCGGTAGGTACATTTTATATAGCATATTCTATCATGTGGTGACTGACACTTTTTGGTTTAACGTTCCCTGCCATAGTGCTAGTTGGTGATAGAACATGAGATAGATTGATAAAACATAAGATAAAATTAGGTACTTTTTATATCCTATTTTGTATACAAGAACTGCTATAATCAGCTGTTACAAACTGATATACATCTTCATGCAGTGCATTTAGTATCTCAGTACACAGCACTATATTGGATCTTTTCAAAGCTGCTGTATAGATACTTGTAATTGTTCAAAAAGTCTTTACACTTATTCTCTGAATATTAACTCTGTAAATATGTTGTATATTTGTATGCTTTTTTTGTTTAAGAATATCTCTGGAAATTAGATGCTGCATTTTACCAGCACTATATTAATGTGACTTTTTCACAAATAAAAATTAGCTTTGTGGTTCTTGCCTTGTATGTAGCTACTATAACGCTCTAGATTGTAAAGTGTTTTGACAAACAATATAATGAAATAAAATAAATAAATAAATATAAATTAATGGAGATATTCTATCTCCTAGAACTAGAAGGGACCTTGAAAGGTTGAGTCCAGCCTCCACTAGCAGGACCAAGTACTGATTTTGCCCCAGATCCCTAAGTGGCCCCCTCAAGGATTGAACTCACAACCCTGGGTTTAGCAGGCCAATGCTCAAACCACTGAGCTATCCCTCCCCACGAGTTGTAGTCTCTTCTTGGTAACTTCAGAAACTCAAACTCTAATAGAATACAAAGAGTATTTAAGATCACTAGTTTATGAACAGTTGCATTAGAAGTTGATCTTGTCATCAGCTTTTACTTCTGAGTTTCAAAAGAAGCATAACTAGAGGTAGCAAAAATCAGGTAGGATTATAGTATTTGGAAATAGTGGGTAAGAAGAGTAATGAAGAGAAAAGAACACTTAAAATTACAAAGTGGCCATCTTTCTGTCACCACACTGGGGGAAATTAATCACTAGCAAAAGTAATAACTGTTGAAAAAGCATTATATAACTTTGATTAAATAAATAATTGCATGTTTTACTTACTTAAATAAAGGCTTATCTCAACCAAAGTGCTATTCAACTCACATGTCTTGGTATATATTGAATTAACAGCTTGAAAGTGGCAGTTTGCACTTTTTCTTATGCCAAGAATTAATGGTTAATTAATGGTTAATGATAAGCTGGTGGTTAATGGTAAAACTAAGTTGTTAATGATAAGCTGTACAACACTTCGAAGGCACCAAAGTCAGAAGGCATAAAAAATGTTCATGAAGATACTATAGGTAGTCCTTAAGGCGAGCCAAATCCATACTACTGGTGATGAGATTCAGATACTACTTCCTCTCAATATGTGATTAGAATAGTAATTGCAGACAGAGATGGCATTCTGAAGAAACCAAAAAGAAAAACCCCCAACAAACTAAGAGACTCATCCAGAATGCCACCAAATAGCTGTTCAAAGATTTTGAAATATTTTTTTTCGTATTGAGCATTTCTATGTCACTTCATTGCAAATGTTTAACTGTTTCTTTTTTAATGCTTTAACACAGATAAATCTCCACTTAATATTCTAAAGGAAATGGGACCATCTCGTATTGAGACAGAGCTAAGAGGCTTGGCTCCAGATGCTGGTGGCGCTGTAGAGGTGATGAAAAGCTTTTTGAGACTGATTGGGACAATGTTGAACACAAAGTGTGACTTTGAGCTGGCCCAGGCATATCTTGCATTGTTTTTAAAGGTAACTGTATATGTTTTTATACAATTTTTGTTACTGCTGCTGCTTCTTATTATACCATAATGGTACATGGCTCTGTAAAATAGATAAAATCTGCCCAACAAAAAACAGACCTGCTTTGAAGAATTTATCATCTTTTATGGTGATGGATTCTGGTTTACCAAAATGATTTACTGTATCTATTGACTAATATGATAACCCTAACATGACCGTAGTCTTAACTTACATGAAAAAGTAGAGATGGTAGCAAAGACAATACTAGCAGTTTTTAAAAAAATCATTTGAACACGATTCATTGCTTATGATTATTTTGGTTTTTTTCCAATTTGCCATTTGAATATGACTTGGTGCTTCTCTTAACCAAGTTACTTAAAATGTAGTTAAATAACTGTTACCTATATTTTTGTGAGGATAAACATTTGATTGCATTTGTTCTTTTCACCCTGGGAGTTGTAGTTTTCAGCTTGCATCTTAGCCTGCTGATTTTGAGAAACTATGATTTAAGCACCAGTGGGCTAACATTGAATGTACTCCAGGAGTTGTGAAGATTACCAAGTTGTCATACTTTTTATCATGGCAACAGGCACTCTTTTAAACAGAAGTGACTTTTTAGTAAAATGGTTCTTAAAGTTATCTAATGATAGAATGTGTAGATTCTGCTAGTTGAGAGACTGTTTTTTTGTACTATAGTGTAGGAAAGGAATTACAGTTACAACTTTTTAAAATGTTCTCTTTAGATTCACACACCTGTGAGAGTGTCCATTTAATCGAGGCAGTTTAATAATCTTTTAGAGATTAAAATTTAAGGGAGAGGGAGCTATTTAAAATTAGTTAGGCTAGAGAAATATAAACATATACTTTATTTAGAGTCGGGGGGGGATTTGTATTTCTGTGATACTTGAGCACTAATATATTGTAGAATTTAGGCAGAACAGAAATTCCAAGCTCAGTGTGACTGATAAATTTAACTGTATAAAGAAAAGTGAACAGCTGGCCCAGTGGTACTGTTGCATGGTGTGTTGATTGTATATTGATTACATTATTGATTTAGTTTCTCCAGTTAGCACTTTGAAATTTGGTAGGTTCTTATCCCAAGATCAGGCCCCATATTAGCAGAATTACTGTTCAGTTGGGAGCCCCAATGTGTATAGTTGCAACACTCAGACTTAGGAAATCACACTGTATTTATAATAGTTAGCAAAGTCACAAACACTGTAACCCAGCATGGCAAAGACAACACAGAATGAGCTAAGCATCCATATACTTATACCATCTTTTGCAAAACAATCTGAAGTGTTGGTGATCATGGTGAGCAGGAAGATGACAACTATCATCAGTGGTGGTCATCCTGGCATATCACCCCAGGCATATAGGCTGGGATATAGCTTTTCTAATGTTATACTGACACCACTATCCCTAATGCATATTCAATAGGGATTTCAGCCCCTCTTCCTCATTTGTAATTCCTTGCCCTACTAATACTGTGGTGCCATTCTCCCATAGGTTATTAATTCTTTTACCTAAAGTTTATTTCCATGGTAAACGAATTGACATATATGCTCTTCTTGTGGTCAGATATCTGTTGATGTCCCTAAATAAAAATATCCCCAGCTGGTGTAAACTTGCATCTTCAGTAGTTTGCAACATTTGTGATTATTACAAAACAATAATCAAAGCCTTGTGCCATCTTGTGATGTAAGGTCACTGTTAGTTTACTTATATATGCTAACTTATTGAGCAACTACTACTCCTCAGGCTATAAGGCCTTATATTTATGCTAACTGCTTAAGCGACCCTTATAGGGCTAGGCCAATCAGTCTCTTGTGTTTCTGCTATCCATTCCTTACTCCTTTATTGTTTACTTACTATATAACTATGACTACTGCATGGGCTACAGTGTAGTAGTGGTGCAGTATGCTACTCTGCATGGGATTAAAGTTTGTTTCTGAGCTCTGTCCCTTGCTCCAGGTCAGCATGTGCTAACTGTGTGAAGTCACTATGCTCCACCCCTAGATAACAGGAGCGTGCCTGGCATCATTCTTCTTGCATTAGTCAGTAAAGGGTCATTTGAATAAGCAATGCTGATTGCCTTCAGAATGCTGCATCCAGCCTGTCTGTGCCAGAGGGAGACTGGCTGTGATGCAGGATGTTGAGGAAGAGCAGAATTACTCCCTGGGAAAAAGATGGGAGTGTGCAATGAGCATATCTTTTCATTCATATATCTGGTTTGGCATTGTGTCTGAGAAAATTTGCTGCCTTCTCCTAGCTAATACATATATAGTAGTAGTAGAATAACTGATGGTAAAAGGGGTCTGACAAAATAAATTCAATTTAATGCTGTCTTTATTAAATAACATTACTTGCTTTACTTGGGGCATCACTCAAAGGAAGATGTGGGTTGAATAGAAAAGTTGATCCCTCCCTTCCCCCCCCCCCCCAAAAGTGTGATCATTTGAATTTAAATAATTGACTACTTGTCTTCATTTCAGTTGCACCTTAAAATCCTTTCCTCAGAGCCAGTCTTGCTGGAAGAAATAGCCAAAGTGTCAACCCAACTAGAGGAAACCTGGATCCATTTACAGACTCTCTTCAATCAAAGTCTGTGTGTGTTAAATTATATGAAAAGTGCTTTGTTATAATGTGCCTTTGTTCCTATTTAAGAATACTAATGTTGGATAAAAATCCTCTCAGATTGATGGTACTTTTAACATTGCAGATAAGTTTCTGATTCCAACAATACAGCTTTTGTATGTCTTTGTTAAATAATACAGAATTAAATATTTAACTTTTATTTAGCTCATTTAAATTCATTGTCAAAATTTGAACTTACAAAATTTTAAAATGTAAAGTGCCCCACTAAATGACTACTGGAGGCAATGTAAATTATTTTTAAAGATGAATAAACATTAAGAACAAATATAGCATAGCAAATCTATATTATCGTGACCAAAAACATATAATGGGGCAACAAATTATGAGAGAGAGAGCAATAAACCTGCCAGTCTCTGTGTATAGAAAATACTTTGTGTTTGTTAGACTTATGCTGTAGCTTAAAAAAAGCCATTGCTTTAACAAATATTAACTGTGAGGTAAAACAGTGATACAGAAACTGCACATCTCCTTGAAGCCAAATTGTCATTGTCATGACTAAGTGCTTGCTAAATCCAATTTGAAGAAACTAGTTTGTTTTCACACTCTTATAAATTGTGTTCTTTTTATTCAAATCCTTTTTACTCAAGCAAAGATTGCCAGCTGTAATATCAAACAGAATGCAAATGATAAATTTTTTTACATGTATCCAGTTTATTATCTTGAAATTTTGTGAGACTCCATTAGTGATAATGGGGGATAAAAGCATTCAGATTGATGTTCATTGTTAGCAGCACTGAATGTTAACTATGCAAATGAATATTACTCTCAGTAAAAAAGATATCTTGTTTTTTCTTTCAAAGAGAATCTTGAATTTTAAAAGGGTCTCTTTCAAGTGCTGCTGGTTCAGAATACTTCTAGAAGCCCAAGAATGCTTTGCTGTTGGACAAGTTAGTTAGTTCATTCTGTTTCCTGCACTACAGATAGAAACATTGTCTCAGTGAGTAGTTGGTGTGTATATGTAGTTTAGAAAAAATTCTGATTAGAAGGGGCTGGTGCCCACTTAAGGCTATGATTTGGTCATGGTGGTCACAGAAATTGTGAATTTGAATACAGTCCATGAAACAGAGTGGTGGTGCGACCTGTGCGCCAGGGTGTAGCACCACTCAGATTTGGCCCATCCATCCCTCTATCTCCATCTGTGGAGGGACAGATGAGCCAAACCTGAGTGGAGTTGCGATCCCATGCACCAGGTCACAATGCCCGGAGCTGGGGCCAGCCCTGCAGGACAGTAGCCACTGCTTTCAGGTTAGTGTGAGTTCACTCTCCAACACCCCCCCAGTCCCAGGCCTCACCTTTCAGTACCCCCTGGCCTTACCATGAAATTTTTCCTCACATCTCTGCGGTGAAATTTACACAAAATTTCTGTGCCAAAATTCTAATCTTGTGTATATACCATATGACACCATAAGAATGAAACAGAAGTAAACTAGTTAATTGCCATATATGCATAACTTTTCATTCCACTATATCACAGACCTCAGTTTCATTGTTTTCTTTTTAAGTAATCTGTTCTAGAGCAACTCATGCTTATTTATCAAAGTGCGCTATACTACCTGATGCAAGCTCTGCATTAAATTTTCAGGGTTGGGGAGAGCGGGAGAGAAGCGTGTGTGTGTGTGTGTGTGTGTGTAAATATATATTGCTATAGCAAGTTTGCAAAAACGAGTTGGGGAAAAAAAACAAGAAAAACAAGTGTAAATATTTTACAAAATTCAACTGATATTTTTCTCCTCTGTGTTCTTATCATACTGGAGGCAGTGACCTGAAATGCTGCCAAATGTCAAAGCATCCCTTCCTTCAGCCAGGAGAGGGTGTAGTGTTCATACTTCAGAAGGTATGACCTCTACAAAATAAATTGGCTGTCAGGGGATATTTGAAGGAATATGGCTGCTCTTATTTGGGATTTTAAAAAAAGAATTGACCTCTGCACTGGTATCTGGGTGAATTTCACTTAAAATGTACATGTGTAACAGTAATTGCCAACTTTTACTAAAAACCCATGGTGAACAGAAAAGCTTTTTATGGGCCACAACCAGATTTTGGAATTTCCTGTGTGACAGGTAAAGAACTCTGAATGTGAAAAGCAGCACAGGAGCTGAATTCCGTGAACTGCATTTTGTTCTGCCCAACTGTTAGAGAAACATAAAATCTTGCCTGAAAGAGGAACTGATTTTTTTTCAAGTATTCTTTTAAATTTCCTATTTATAATTGAAATCTGGCCATATATTCTGATATAGACATGGGGTCTTGGTGTAAGTAATCCTGCAAGGTGTGGAGTACCTCCTGAAATAAAATGAACGTCCTCAGCTCACTTTAATGTTGTTGGCAAATAGGAGTTCAGCAAGTGGCAAGATTAGCCCCAGTTTTTAGTTATGCTAGTTCTGTTTTTCATCTTAAAATATGTGTTTGGTTACTTAGAAATGTCTAGAAATAGTTGGTGTGATATGTCTTGATATATATATGATTATACAGCAGGAACTTAAGCTGTACTTCAGAAAAGATTTTTAAGTAGAATTACAATTAAACTCCATAGTTAGGCTTTTGCATACTTAACACAATTCAGTTAAGTCACTCAACTCATATCTAAGCCTAGTAATGTTGCAGCAGTGTACGGTTATATGTCAAATAATAGTAGCGGGAACTTAATCTATGATGATCTAGCAAAAATTTCAGTACTTCAAAGTTAGCTAGAAATGTAAACTAGAAACCAAAGGCCTTTCTTGTTACTCATCGTGGGGAGACTTAATTGTGGACACATTTGTGGGCTTGGTATAGAAACAGTAGTATGTGCAATCCATTTCTAACTGAATCTGATTTGAAACAATCCTTAAATAGCAATGAAGAAAAGTATGCTTGGCCCAATTGCTCCTCATTCAGTCTCCTTCCCCTTCCTGATTAGTATTTCAACTCTATGAACTGCTGATCTTCCGTTTGTCTGTCTGTCCTTTTTGGAAGGAGACCTTCCATCCTACAACAACCCTGGAAGTGCCGTATTCTCCTGCACAATTGCTTCCATGATTCCTTTATGTGGGTAGGGCTTCAGACTTGCTGCTATTCCATCTCCCTGGAGAAACAAGTCCTGGTCTGCCTTGGAAGCCATTAAAATGACAGTTGCCAGGGGAAATCCACTTGAAAGAGCTTTGTCTCTAAAAGTTAATGAAAAGAAATAAAAACTGTTTTAAAACTGAAAGACCAGACCAATGGCAGAAAAGGTTTAAAATATTTTCTTGCTGCCAAAAGTACCAGTACATCTAACTATAATATTACAATGTGCAACTGAACGTGTCAGTGGAACATCATTAGAACAATGGCAATACAGCTGCTGAACTAGAAGTACAATAGTGAACCTGTATTTTACTTAGACATACTTAAAATAAATAAAAAAAGTGAGGGAGTGGATTCATAGATTCTAGGACTGGAAGGGACCTCGAGAGGTCATCGAGTCCAGTCCCCTGCCCGCATGGCAGGACCAAATACTGTCTAGACCATCCCTGATAGACATTTATCTAACCTACTCTTAAATATCTCCAGAGATGGAGATTCCACAATCTCCCTAGGCAATTTATTCCAGTGTTTAACCACCCTGACAGTTAGGAACTTTTTCCTAATGTCCAACCTAGACCTCCCTTGCTGCAGTTTAAACCCATTGCTTCTTGTTCTATCCTTAGAGGCTAAGGTGAACAAGTTTTCTCCCTCCTCCTTATGACACCCTTTTAGATACCTGAAAACTGCTATCATGTCCCCTCTCAGTCTTCTCTTTTCCAAACTAGACAAACCCAATTCTTTCAGCCTTCCTTCATAGGTCATGTTCTCAAGACCTTTAATCATTCTTGTTGCTCTTCTCTGGACCCTTTCCAATTTCTCCACATCTTTCTTGAAATGCGGTGCCCAGAACTGGACACAATACTCCAGTTGAGGCCTAACCAGAGCAGAGTAGAACGGAAGAATGACTTCTCGTGTCTTCCTCACAACACACCTGTTAATACATCCCAGAATCATGTTTGCTTTTTTTGCAACAGCATCACACTGTTGACTCATATTTAGCTTGTGGATGATGACTCAAAACAGCAGCAGCAAAAGGATTGGGAGATTTTCACGTCTGTGTTAGTAGTCTAAATTACCTGGGCCTGCAGTTGCACCTGCCCAGTTGTCAGGCAGCCAATGAGTGCATCTCAGCCACAGCAGAACCACTTGATTGGCTAAGGTAGTCAGGTGGCTTACTCTTAAACCCAGCAGCTGCAGAGGATCAGTGACTGCTCAATGCACATGCCCATGGATTCTCTGCCTCCCTGCGTTTGTTTTGCTTCAAGCCCTGTTCCTGTGCTACTCCAGCCTAGACCCTGCCCTGTGCCCAGCCTTGTTCTAGCCTTGCTCCTGTCTTGGAACTAGCCCAGCTTTTGCCTTCTCTGACTTCAGGTAATCCAACTGCTGAGCCTTGGCTGTTCTCTGGCACTAACTCTCGACACTTGGCTCTGGCATTTGGGATTCTGACTTTTGGCTCCGATCCCTGGTTCTGACTGTGCTTTGCTTTGACCTTGGGCTTTAGCATTTGGATGCTAAATTCACTTAAACTGAAAGTATATTTTACCAAAAAGGCATGAAAGTCAGCCTTTTTCCAATCTGCCTTTTGGGTGTGTGGTTTGTTTTTGTTTTTAAGTGCTGCTTACTAAAGCATTTGTTTGAGGCAGTGCTTGCTTGTTTCTACATATGGTGCCTACTTTGGTTGATTCATGTAGTTACTAACACAATTTTTCAGGCTGGATGGAAAGAGTGAATACTGTAGTTGAGGGTCTGGTCCTTCTGGAAAAGAATTGATGTGATTGGTCAGGATCTGGTGTACTCAACGGTTCCATAACTGCGGAGTTTACTTCAAAATACACCTGGATGGAAAATTATACTTCAGAATCTAAGCGCTCATTTGAAAACAAAGTCTCTAGCCTCCTGAGTATGAAGGCAACCTAAAAATGTGAACTAGATGTGATAGTGTTGTCTTCCTGATTCTACTTATAGCCTCTAATGAGTTCAGAGTTGTGAACTGCCCCATTCAGTGTATGGAATTTTAACCCTGAAATCTAAGGAAGTCAATCTAAAAGTCAATACTGTCTTTCTTTGTTGATCGTTTAGCACAAACATCCAGCTAATATATTTGTCCCAAGCTTCCCCATATCATTGTCAGTTGTGACATCTTTCACAGTGTAACAGCTTCCATCCTGACAATTTCTGTGCTGTAGATTTGAGTTGTCAATTCACATTTACTTTTTTCAACATGCATAAGGAGACAGCATAAGACATTAATATTAAAACATCAGGCTACTGGCCTGATTATAGTGCATATTTTAATATTTAATTCATTAGGAAAAAAGCTGTTTTTAAAGTTGTGCAGCAGCTGCATTAAAATCTTAGTCTCCTGTGCCACAGTACTAGAGAACCCAGAGACTTTGCTCCAGAATTTAGATCCAGTTTGCCTGCAAGTTTTAATTAAAGTTATAACGTTGACAGTTCAAATCCGTTTTGCGGACAGCATGTGCGAGGTGGTAGCTAATTTTCAACGGCCATTATAATAAAAACAGCCTTTGTATTTATAACCATGACTAATTTATCAAAAAGGAAATTCAGTCTAACTTCGTCGTTGACTAACCTGCTGT